CAACACATGGGGAAGGACAAGGAGGAACACCCTGAGAATTCTCCTGAAGCAGCGTATTCCCGCCCTCAAAAGCACGTCACACATTCCAGCCCATCAAAACTCACCATATCTTCCAATTCCGAGTGATGGTGGTGGTGATGTGTGTCCACCCCTCCCTCCCCCTCCACCCCCGCCCCCACCTCCGCCTCACGCTCTCCCATCCCCTCCCCCTTCACTCCCCCCTTCGTCGCTTCTGCAGCCGCCAGCGCCGCTCTGAGCCGCTCATTCTCCTCCTCCACCGCTCTGCACCGCTCTCGAGCGTCCATGGCATCGCGGCGGGCTGCCTTGAGGTCCGCCTGCAGCTGCTTGGCGCGCATGGCCATGGCTGTCGCCACCTGGGGTTGGGGGGGGAGGGGGGAGGAGTTAGAGAGGGGGCCGATGAGAGGAGGTGGGATGAGAGGAGCAACGTTCAAGTGAGCTGCTTCGCCTGCATGGCCATGGCTGTCACCACCTGGTGGGGGAGAATGGTGGGGTTAGGGGGGGTAGGAAGGAGGCGGAGGGGAGGGATGAAAAGAGGGGGAAAGGAGGGGCGATGCAAGGAGTGAACTGCTTCACCCGCATGGCCACGGCTGTGTTTTGAGGCGCCTCAAAACGATGCAAGGAGTGAACTGCTTCACCCGCATGGCCACGGCTGTGTTTTGAGGCGCCTCAAAACGATGCAAGGAGTGAACTGCTTCACCCGCATGGCCACGGCTGTGTTTTGAGGCGCCTCAAAACGATGCAAGGAGTGAACTGCTTCACCCGCATGGCCACGGCTGTGTTTTGAGGCGCCTCAAAACGATGCAAGGAGTGAACTGCTTCACCCGCATGGCCACGGCTGTGTTTTGAGGCGCCTCAAAACGATGCAAGGAGTGAACTGCTTCACCCGCATGGCCACGGCTGTGTTTTGAGGCGCCTCAAAACGATGCAAGGAGTGAACTGCTTCACCCGCATGGCCACGGCTGTGGTCAGCTGGGTGGAGCGATAGGGAAGAGGGGGGAAGACTGATGTTGAAGTGAGAGGTAATTTGTTCGCATGGCCATGGCTGCCGACTCATGTTGCCACCAACATGTATACATGCGTAGTTACAGGCTCTCATTGCAGCGTGTTTTGAGACGTTTCAAAACACACCAACATATATACATGCATAGTTACAGGCATTCATTGCAGCGGAGGACTCACATTTGTAGACGCCACGAGCTGGGTCTCCTTGGGCACATGCACTGCCGCTTCACTCGTCCGCTTCACCCCCTCCTCCTCACAACAATGCATGCAGTTCTCCCATCTCTGCCAGCACTCACATTTCTGCCCACCTCCCATTCCAGCGGACTCACATTTCTGCCCACCTCCCATTCCAGCGGACTCACATTTCTGGACGCCACGAGCTGGGTCTCTTTGGGCACATGCACCGCCGCCTCACTCGCCCTCTTCACCCCCTCCTCTCTCCCCACCAGCATCTCCCTTCCCTTCGGCAACCGCACTAGCAGATCGTCTTCCGCTGCCAGCTCAGCACCTGACGTGGCGGCTAATGTAGCGGCTGACGTGGCGGCTGACGTGGCAGTTGGGCCAGAGGATGCATGACCAGGAGCTTGAGGGGGAGGAGGGGAGGCAAGAGGCTCGTCAGGCCGTGCAGCTAGGGAGGGCGGCGAGACAGGGGAAGAAGGAGAGACAAGGGCGGGAGGAGAGGCGAGGGAAGCAGGAGAGACGAGGGAGGCAGCAGCTTCTGTTTCCCCTGCTCGCCCTTCTCGTCCCTGCATCCGTTGCTCTACAGGCACAACCCCTCCGCCACCCCCCTCACCCATACCACTACTACTCCGCTCTGACAGTCGCGCTACTGCTGCTGCTCCTGCTATAGTTGCTCCTGCTCCTGCTGCTTCGGCTACTTCTGCTCTGGCTGCTTCTACTGTTGCTGCTGTTGCTGTCGATGGCTGTCTGGGTGCCACTGCATTTGTTTGTGCCACCATGGCATTCGCTGAGTCTCTCACTGTAGGCGCCGCTGCTTCTCCTGCACTCAACCCCTCTGCTTTTGGAGCTACCACTCGAGTTGCTGCTGTTGCTGCTACTGCTGCTACTGCCGTTGCTGCCGCTCCTCCTGCTCCGGATGCTCCTGCTCCTGCTACTGCTTCTCCCCCTGCTCCTGCCACTGCTGCTCCTCCTGCTGCTGCTCCCCCTCCTGCCGCTGACCCTACAGCAGCCTCAGAGCCGCTGTCAGCCCCTCTCGTCTGCACGCTATCAGGCCCTTTTGACTGCACGAGGCGGGGGCGCGCGTCTCTGATGGCCGCTCTGGGCGCGGACTGCCTGCCTGACGCGCCGGGCTTGGTGCTGCCCGCTGCTGCCTTTCTGGGGGGCGGGTGGTCGTCTACGGCCACCTGCACCACCTTGCCTATGCCCTCCTGCCGTCAGGTACAGTGGGGAAAGGGGGGAGGGAGTGGGGAGGGATTGGGGAGGGCGTGGGGATTTTCTATGGGTCCCAAGAAAGGACGGTCGTCAACGGCCACCTGCACCACCTTGCCTATGCCCTCTTGCCGCCGCGTGTAGTGGGAGGGAGGAGGGAGGGAAGGGCGGGAGGTGGGGGTTGGGGGAGAGGGTCTAGAGGCGCCCCGAAACAGGGCGCTCCTCCACCGCCACCTGCACCACCTTGCCTATGCCCTCCTGCCGTCACACACACCGGGAAAGGAGGATGAAGAAGGGGAGGAAGGAGGGGGCGGCGGGCAGCAAGGAGGGAAGAGAAGACGCCAGTATCAAAGTAGAAGCAGAGAGGAACGCCAAGGGGAAAGTAAAGCTCGGAAGATGCGAGGGGTTTGGGGCAGACAGTGGCGCAGGGTATGTGTGTGGAGAGGCAGCAGGGCAGGGGGGGAGGAGGGAGGGGAGGGTGGGGTAAGTTGAAGTGCGTGCATGTGTATGCGTGCACACCCATGACACAAGCGGGGCAGCTTACATCGAGAGCGGAGCCAAGGGTGTCACCGAGCAGGGAAATAGAGTTGATGATGGCGTCCAGCCCTCCCTGCACAAATCCACCGCCACCACCGCCGCCTCCTCCGCCTCCTCCTCCCTTAGCACCCCCAAACGTTGGTCCAGCTGAAGCACGACCTGACGCTCCCCTCCCTGCTCCTGCTGCTCCTCCTGCTGCTGCAGCAGGCTTGGAATCCCCTGCACCTCGCTTCCCTGCTCCCGTTCCACCTTCTCCCATTCCACCGGCTGCCACCCCTGCCGTCCGTTCTGCTCCTGCAGATCTTGCGGTTCCACTGTTTCGTGCCTGCGTGGGCTTCGAGACTCCAGCATGCTTGCCGCTCCCCGGCTGTGCTTGTGGGGAGCTTGTCTTTGCGCTCGCCCTCCGCGGGCTGCTGGATACACCGCTAACCGCAACAGGTTTTCCTAGAAGATCCTGGCGGGGAACGAGAAGGACACAGGGAATAACGATCGGGACTCTTAGGGTGCCGGATTCCGCAAAACAAAAGACGGTAACGCGCGTGAGGGAGCGAGTCCAGTAACGTTATGGGCAAGCTCGAAGAAGCGACTGAACGGGAACGGCAGCAAGGCCCAACAACCTGCCCTGATTCAGCTGCTCACCTCCGCATTGAGCGTGGGAGACTGCTGATGCCGCGGCGTGGAAGCGCGCGACGAGGAGGAGGGGATGTCGTCCTCGAGCACGAAGTCCGCCACCTTCTTCACCAGGCTCGACCAGAAGCTCTCCTGCGCCGCCGGGATCGGCGCTTCCGCCTTCCGCCTCGCACTCACCGACCGATCCATCCTGGCGTGCCCGATCGCTGGCTAGCAAGTCGACGAGTTTATCTGCAGTGCAGGCTGCAGCAGACGCAGGTGGCTCAGCAGGTGTACCTGCGTGTTGCTATAATTCGTACGGATGCCGCTTCAGATTCTGGAGGAAATGCTTGTCCGGTTGAATGATAACATCAACACTAAACCGCGATATTTAATTTGAAGGCCCTAACCTACTGCCATCGCTCGCTAGAATCAGCTGGTCTCAGGTACACAAACAGATCCATGTATCGAAACGTAAGCCTTCATAATTGTTCGGTGGTGACCAACCTCGCTGTTTCTACTCATTGCGATGATACAGCTGGTGGAGAAGCAGGATTCTCGAAACGTAAGAAACGTGATCTAGGTGGAATGTGTGCATTTGACAACCAAATGGAAAGCAAGGTGTGCGTGCAGTGCAGGTCCGTGAAAGCTGGAGTTTACGAAGTGAATGGTCGAGGTGAGTAATCTTGTCAGCAATGAGACGTAACTGTTCAGCGGCTAGAAACCTTTTTAGAACACTACGAAACTTACTCAAACGCACTGAATACCTCGCTGATGGGTTGTGAGATTTCCGTATGACAAAATCGAGGTTTGGAAGTCCGAAGGTTGGGGGAGAAGGGGAACCTGCACAACCAAGGGTGACTCATGGAGGGAAATGCTGTGAGTGGCTGGAAAATGTTGTCCAGGCGAAGATGGAGGGACAGGAGGGGGCCAGTCATGTGTGGCTGGAAGTGGCCAATTGGCGCGCGGTTGTTGGGAACCAAGCAGACGTAACTATTCGATTATGTGCACTCACAAGATAGTATAGGGAACAGATACAAATACGTAAGTGTAGACAGCGTAACTATTCTTTGTAGTTTCTTGTGGAAGAGGCTGTTGGTGAGTATGTATGGCTACGTGGAAAGTCGCACTCGTTTCCACGTGTCGGCGGATACGTCACACTAGGCCTGGTTTGCCTCTCCGTTCGGTTTGCTGTCGGTGGTGCTGTAGGTTACTCTACTCGCTTGTCTGCAGCGCAACGAAACGCCCTGCCAAGCTGTAATTCGTTCAACGAAGTCGCGACTGTCGCTCCACCCCTCCATCACCGAAAACAGCCGAACACAATCCCGCAACAGACAAAAGTACTGCCAGAATCCAGCGTGTCCGACTGACTGTTGCGGAGGGGAAGGTGAAGTGAGTGAGGGTCAAGGCTCCGACGCTCAACGCAACAATGCGCAAATGCGATGCGTCGGCGTGCGGCCCGACCAAAATTACAAGCAAGGTCCATCCCGAAATTCCCTCCCCCTCCCCCCCTCTCCCCCCTCTTCCCCCTCTCTCCCCTCTTTCCCCTCGTCCTCATTCTCCTCCTCGTCTGCCCCCCCCTGCCCCCAACCCAGGGTCACGCAAGAGGGGTTCTGCGGGAGGAAACTCCGCCTGCTCCAGCTGCTGGGGTATAGATTCGCGAGCAGCGGAGGCGGGGGCGGGAGCGGAACCAGAAGCGACCACGAAGCCGACAGCTTGACGCAAGCAGGAAGCTGACCATTAGGCCCCCGCCGCAAATCTGACGTACCTGGATTTTTACTTCTGACCACTTCTTGCATACCTTCCATTCGCAGTATCCTAGAGTTCGCCGCACAGATACCTGAGTGCCATAGCTCCTCTTTCGGAGATAACTTTTCATACGCAGAATCCAGAACGGGTTTTTTAGAACCGACTGTTGCTCTCGCCGATTTGTCATTTCGAGTTTTTAGTCGTTTAAGTTGGCCCGAGTAATGCATCTCGCCGGTTGCTTTTCATCCAGCCGGCAACTGAAACGGCCACCGTCACTATCGTCTCTTCGCATAGCTTATCCGTTACCGTACTCCTGCTTCAATACATCCCAGACCCAGGTCGAGCCTGTAAACGAGCCACGTAATAACGAGTTCCTAGTCACCGAGCCTCTGGACACCTGCCCATTGCCACGTCGGTCGCCAGTAGAGGGGATCCACGTGGCCGACTCTGGAGCCTTATCCGAGAATCCGCACATGCCACGTCAGACGCAGCACCGTCAAACCTCCTCCCTCGATATCCCTCCCACCAGAAACTCCTTAACTCCGCCGCTCCCCGCTTCCACCCCGCCCCCCCTTTCCCGTCCCCCGGCGACGCGCTCCCCCGCCCCGTTCTCGCCGGGAGCGGGATTTCCACACTCCCCCGGCGCGCAGTCTCCGCCTCCCCTAGCAATAGCAGTAGTTCCCGCGCACCCGTTCAAGCGCCGCGCGGTGGAGGGGCCTTCGCCGCCCCCTTCCCCGCTCCTGCGGCTCAACGAGAGCCATCACTCTCCGCTTTCTTCGCCGTCTTCCGCGGTCTTTGGCATCCGCGCTGCGCCTCTTAGCCCTTGCGCATGGAAAGCGGGGGAAGGGGGAGGAGAGAGTGGGAGGGGTGGGGGAAGTCGGGGGAGCGTGGGAGGTGCGGGAGCGCAATCCAGAGCGCACGATGGTTCCGCGAGCGTAATCGCAGGGTCTTCCGCATCTCCCGCACCGGACTCCAGTGTAGTTTGGCCGGCGAATGCGCCACGTGGCGGCCAGATCCGCGGACCTCCTGCGCCGTCAGGCGCAAGAAAGGCAGAACCTTTGAGTCCTTATCCAGACGCGCGGGAGCAGGGGGTGCCGCTTCCGCGCGCGCAAGAGCAAGAACGGCGGGTGGGCGGAAAGGCCTTAGCTTCCCCGCAACCCCGCGATGGCCCCGTCAGCACAGTGACGCTTGAGTGGACTCAGAAGCCGCCTTCCCCGCGATCCCGCGATGCTCCCCCCCGCGCCGCGACTCTCTCCAGCGCGCTTCTCGCGCGCATCGACGCGATATTCCTGAGCAAACGGAGCAAGGAGCGCGCGGAAGCCAAGGCGCAGGCGCAGGCGCAGGCGCAGGCGCGGCTGCGAGCAGCGGCGGGCGGCGGGTCGAAGCGGCGCGGGCAGGCTGACTCCGCCGCCGCCGCCGCAGCTGCAGCAGCAGCAGCAGCAGCGGGGAAACAGGAAGCTCCCGTCGCAGCGGAAACGGGAGTGGGAAAAAGCGCGGGTGTGTGGGGGAAGGTGGGTACAAAGGCGCGGCGGTCACTGTCTCTGGATGGCACGGGGGCAAGCCGCGGGGAAAGGGTATTTGCGGCGCTGGGGGAAGGAGGAAACGTGAAGGCGGAACCTGAGGTCTGGGAGGTTGGTGGGGGAGGCTCGATTGGCGGGAGTGGGGGAAGCGGAGTAAGTGCGGGAAGTGGGGGAAGCAGGGGGAGCGGGGGAAGCGGGGGAAGCGGGGGGATGAGTGGTACCATTTCTGGTGGTAGCAGCGGTTTTGATGGCGAGCTGAGAACGCGCACAGCTCTGCACTCTCCTGCTACCACAGCTAACGCCTTTGCTGCTGCCTCACCAGCTGCTACCCCAACAGCAACAACAACAGCGGCGGCAGCAGCAACAGCAGCGACAGCAGTGAGAGAAGCAGAAGAAACGGCGGACGCACAGCCGATCCGGCAGGCAGCGGGCAACAGAGGAGTTGAGAGTGGTGTTAGAACCGTGGCTGGCTTTGCCCCTGCGACCGACAACAGCCATATCAGCGGCAGCAGCAGCAGCGCAACGGTCCCGGCCGCACTGCAGCAGCAGCAGCAGCAGCAGCAACCCGCGTGGATGATGGTAGCAGGTACGCTTACTCGCGCTGCTGTTGTTGTCCCCATGCCCGCCACCGCTGCCATGCCTGCTCCCATGGCTGCTCCCACGCCTGCTCCCATGGCTGCTCCCACGCCTCTTCCCACGGCTCCTCCTTCGCTCACTCTCACGCACACCCCTACTGTACTCACATCGCCGCTTGCACTGCCACCAGCAGCCACCACAGGCACAGCCGGTGCAGCAGGGCCAGCAGCATCGGTCTCACCCTTCAAACAACCCGTGCAGCAGCAGCAGCAGCCCGGCCTTGAGCCCTCTTCAAGAACCCATCCACCGGAACCCTCTTCTCCTCTGCCTCCTCCTCCTCCTCCTCCTACTTTTACTGCTCCTCCTACTGCTCTCGCCACCCCTCCCCCTTCTGCCCCCCCTGCCACTCCCCCTTACGTTCCCCTTCCCTCTCCCCTTTCTCTTGCCCCAGCTGCTTCCCCTGCTGCCCCGCCCGCTACCCCCCCTGCTCCATCCGCGCGCCATCCACCCCCTCACCGCTCCGTTCCCGCCCACCACCCTCATCCCCCGCACCATCCCCACCACCATAACCACCCCCGCGTGCGGTACCGGGGGGTGCGGCAGCGGCGGTGGGGGCGGTGGGTGACAGAAATCCGCGAGCCCACCACGCGTACGCGCATCTGGCTCGGCTCCTATGATAACGCCGAGGAAGCCGCCCGTGTGTACGACATGGCCGCCCGGCTGCTCAAGGGCCGGGCGGCAAGGCTTAACTTTCCCCACAGCGTGCAGCCAGTGGCGGTCCCCCGGGGGATTGCGGATGCTCTCATGAGGGCTAGCCGGGCGGCAGCAGAGGCTGGGGGGGGGGAGGGTGGTGCGGGTGGTGTTGACGATGGGGAGGGCGGTGCGGGTGGCGGTATGGATGATTTGCAGGGTGGTCGGGATAGTGTGGACGATGGGCATGGTAGGGATGGGGATGGGGATGGTGGTGGTGATGGGGATGGTGATGGGGATTGGGGCATCAGTGGTGGGTGCGGTGGTGGTGTGATGGGGATGGTGATGGGGATGGACGTGGTTGGTGCAGAGGCAGTGGGGGAGGGTGAGGCGGGCGCAGAGGCACAGGAGGTGAAGGCGTGGAGTGGTGAGAAGATGGAGTGTGGCTCGGAGCAGGTGCAGCAGCATCAGAGCATGGTGCTTCAGCATGCCGGGCAACCACCAGCCGGCCTACAGGAGCATCACTATTATCATCAACAGCAGCAACAGCAGCAACAGCAGCAGGAGCAGCAGCAGCAGGCGAGCAGTTTGGCACCTGAGAATCCACCTGGCAGCCAGGCGCCATCATGGGAGGAGACCCTGAGAGACCTGGGCCTGGACGCACCCCTTCCCCCTGTCGCCCCTCCCCCTCCCCTTTGCCCCGCTCCCACTCCAATTGCCCAGCCTCTCTCTGCTGCTCCCACCGCTCTCCACCGCTCTTCACCACCAGCAGCAACACCACCACCATGTGTAACCCCATCTCGCCCCTCCAGTACGCCTCCTCTTCCTCTCCTGCGCATGCCCCTGTCGCTGCTCGCCTCCCCACGTGCGTGCACCCATGTCCCTCCATATCGATCAGCAGGCAGCCCCCTGCTCCACCTCCCGCCCTCGTTCCCTGCTGCTGCCTCCACCTCCGTGCCTGCTGCAACTACTGTAGCTGGTGCCACACCTGCTACAACATCCGCACCTGCCACTACAGAACCCCCACCTGCTACAGCACCCTTACCAGATACTACACCCATCTCTCAATCCTTCTCCCTGCTTCCCTGCTCCAGCCCCAACGAACGGACGGATCAAATAGACCAGAACAGCCAGATGGAGCGGACGGACCAGATCGAGCGAGCGGGCCAGATGGGGCAGACAGACCAGATTGAACGGACGGACCAGATGGAGCGGATGGAGCCCCCCTTAGAGCCTTATACATTGGAGCTTCCCCAGGTGCACTCCCACACCTCCACCGCCACCACTGTCACCAGCGCTACTGGTGGTAACACGGTTACCACAACTGGCACCACCAGCGGCACTGCCACCACCACGGCTTCTGATTGGTCGGCGAACGTTCTTGTTGACTCCAACGATTCCTCCATGCAGATTTTCGGGCAGACAATGAATGTTTTCTGCCCGAATCAACAGTCGCCTACTGAAGTTTCTTGGAATTCTCCAACCGAACCATCTGTCCGAACCTCACTCCACCGAGCCTCTCTCTCTCGTCCGGCAACCGTCCCAGCCAATCGTCCAGCCGTTCGCGCTACCGAACCTCCGCCTCTTGTCCTCCCACCCTCGCTAGATGCCCTGTCATTGGCCAGCCTCAGTGCTGAACCTCTGTTGCTGCCATCCCTTCCGGAGAGGTTCGGGGGAGGTTTAGAGGATGAGGGGGTGACTGGGGATGAGGGGTGGTTCTTGTGGTCTGACCTGTAAGGTACGGATGGCATTGGTGTTACATACAACCACCTCCTGATGCTGTCTCACAGTTGAGCTTTATGGCGGACTTCGCTGTTGCGGCTTTCAAGACGCCATCTGATTAGCCACACCCTAGAATCTCCTATTCTTGACAGAGACAGCCACCACACTTGCCCAGTCATGCTGCCGTGTTCCACGTGTCCAATTCCCCCGTGATGCTTCTGACTCCATTTGAGGCGCCACGTTGCCTTGTAAAGGATTCCCACGGGCTCGCGAGACTGAGGACCCGGTATGGACCGACAGGATTTTTGGGCAGGATGTCAATCAACATTTCAGGTGCACGTAGTTTGATTTACGCATTCTCCTATGACCGATGGTGTAATACGCATATTTCAAGCCATTCTTGTCCCCAAAACACACACGGCTTAGATCCATTTTGTATAATGTAAGCTTATCCTAGTGGATAAACGTGCTTGGTACTTGATTTACTTGCACCTATAATCTGTGTTGTGGCCAAACGTGCCCATCACTTCTGCACTTGCAGCTACTGCTGTTCAAAACTATAATAGTGAAGCGCTTGAGGTATTTTTGTTGAAAGGACGGTTTGCTGGATGCTTATTCCGAAGCCTTTGTAGTGCGGATCGGGATTACCAGCTTCTGCATTTGATTTGCATTATTGGAGCTTCCCCCGCCCCGCCCACCTCCCCACCCCACCCGAGCGCTGGAAGTGTTTGACTTTCCGCTATTGTACAGTCATTCCCCGCCAGTCCATCCAACGTGCTGAGACGGACAGTCCGTGGCGGCTTGCATTATTCCACCCTTGGCTTGGTTTGGCGCTTCCCCTCTCGCGCGCACCTTTTCCCCCAACACCGCCCGTCCCTTCCGATCCCTTTCCGCTTGCTCACTCCGCATATTCAATTCCAAGCCAATCCAAGCCACACACACACCGCATCAGACGCGGTGGAAAACTCTACCACCTTACTTGACCATATCAAAACAACTCAAAACTCACGAAAACACACCACACCACACCAACCAGGAGGAGCCGGCAGCAAATCCGTTCATGAATCATGATGATCACTCAGTCCCCTCGCCGAGGTGCTTCAGCCAACGCTTTTCCAACCCGCAGCTTATGGACTCGGTTCACACAGAGCACACTCCATTCGAGCGCACTTAGGAGAATGCACTCCCCAGCTTGGCTGGGAAACAAGTGGCTGCTATTCGTAGATGAAAGTCAAGAAGGTCTTGAAATGTTTATGTACTAGAAGTGAATTGCGTGGCAATGGAGGTATTATTTCGTTCCGTCGTGGTAAATACTTCGTTAAAAGGTTATTGGAAGTATTAATTCCCGTAAGAGGAACCAATAGCCAAAGTCCTCAGGTAACCACCTTACGTCTCTTCACCAAAAATTGATCGCGGTTACCGATTCCTCCTAATCCGCGTCCCGTAGTAGCAGCACGGCCGTTGTGCTCGGAGCTATCCACGCCGCATTCAACGCCGCATTCAACGCGCGCACTTTCGTTGCGACGCAAGCTTCAAGTGAACCCCCATCTATCAGACCTCAGCATTCAGTCATGGCGTTGCCGAGGCTGAGAATCGAACCGGGGGCGTTAGCATTCAGCTGTAAGCGCGCAGCTTCAACCTCACACTTCAACCTCACACTTCAACCTCTAGCCTAACCGTCGTCCCAGTCCCCCTCTGGGTCATGTCCTGTGGTAACCGTACCACCGTTTGTTTGTTCTCCATTCGGCTCAGCATCCCCTCCTTCCGCGCCTTTCCGCGGTCCAGGCAACTAAGAATGTGCCGCGAACACCGCTGCTGAACTCTTTTCCACCTCTTTCGGATCGCCGCTTCCCTGCACGCTCCCCGCACGCTCACTCTCTCATCTCCCATTCCCCTCCTCCCCCCTTCTCCCCTCCCATTCCCCGCCTCCCCCCGTACTACCGCTGCTCTCCCCCTCTTCCCCGTGGAGGCAGTCGAGGCGGGGAAGGAGCTGCGCACGCGCGTGAGGATCCACAACGATTACTCCAAGGACGTCGTTATCACGGTCAGTCTCCTCCTATCTCGAGTTGATTGTTGGGATTGATTGTGACCTTTTGATTTGATTGAGTCGACTCAAAAGGAGCTGCGCACACGCGTGAGGATCCACAACGACTGCTCCAAGGATGTCCTCATCACGGTCAGTCTCCTCCTACGTAACTGCTCACTGCTCCGCTGCTCACTGCTCCGCTGCTCACTGCTCCGCTGCTCACTGCTCCGCTGCTCACTGAGCTGCTCCGCTGTGAGCTGCTCCACTGTTAGTAGTAGCTCACAAAGACTGCTCCAAGGATGTCGTCATCACGGTCAGTCTCCTCCTACCTTCCCGCGTAGAACTAGATCCGTGCATGTCGTAATTGCTCACTCCTGCGATGATGTGAGGCACCCATCAGTTGGCTCCTTCCTCCTACCTCGTATCTAAGGACGTCGTCATCTCCTATCAGTTGCTCACAACGATTACTCCAAGCACGTCGTCATCTCCTATCAGTTGCTCACAACGATTACTCCAAGCACGTCGTCATCACAGTCAGTTGGCTTGGCTCCTTCCTCCTACCTCGTATCTATCAGCGACTGACAGTGACTTAACTAGTGCTATGCTGTCAGAGCCCTATTGCTCACAACGACTGCTCCAAAGACGTCGTTATCACGGTCAGTTTTCCTCCTATCCACCTGCTCATTGCTCGCTGTGAGTCCCTCCGCTGTTAGTCTCCCTCCCTCCCTCGCTCACTCTCTCACTCTCTCACTCCCTCCCTCCCTCCCTCCCCCTCCCCCCTCCCCCTCCCCCCCTTCCCTCCCTCCCCTCCTCCTTCCCTCCCTCCCGCACCACCAGATAAAGCCGGGCACGGTGCGCAAGTACGAGGTGAAGGATGGCACCAAGATCGTCGTGCCTGAAGGCTCCTCCTTCCTCCTCACTGGTAACCACATGCTCACTGGTAACCACATGCTCACTGGTAACCACATGCTCACTGGTAACCGCCTTTCCTTCCGTTGTCACGCGTAACCGCCTCGTTCCTCTCCATACTTGCTTCTTTGTGATGGCCCGTGCGTCACTGCAAACCACCTCTTTATTCCTCACACGTGCTTTCTCTCCCCCCCATGCCATCCCCGCAGTGTCGTGCGTGCCGCTGTCGTCCATGCCATGCCCTTCTGGCCCGACGCGTCTCAGTACCACCCGACGCGTCTCAGTACCACCCGACGCGTCTCAGTACCACCCGACGCGTCTCAGTACCACCCGACGCGTCTCAGTACCACCCGACGCGTCTCAGTACCACCCGACGCGTCTCAGTACCACCCGACGCGTCTCAGTACCACCCGACGCGTCTCAGTACCACCCGACGCGTCTCAGTACCACCCTACCCACCCGTCGCCCCTCTTCCCCCCACCCCACCCCTGCTCGCCGCAGTGTCGTGCGTGCCGCTGTCGTCCATGCCATGCCCTTCTGGCCCAACGTGCCTCGCTGGCACCCGACCCGCCCCCCTCCCCTCTCTTCCCCCTCTCTTCCCCCTCTCTTCCCCCTCTCTTCCCCCTCTCTTCCCCCCCACGCCATCCCCGCAGTGTCGTGCCTGCCGCTGTCGTCCATGCCCTTCTGGCCCGACGCCTTCGTGCTGGCATGCCACATGCCCGCTGACAAGTTCACCCGCCGCCTCACGCTGCACACGGTGAGTGAGTTACTCAGCGTGTAGGGTGGGGAGGAAATGGTGGGAGGGACCTTACCTTCACATGCACACAGCAGAGAGGGTGCAGTGAGACGCCTTTGTGCCGGCATGCCACATGCCCGCTGACGTTTCACCCGCCGCCTCACGCTGCACATTGTGAGTGCGTAAAGGCAGGGGCATTGGAAGGAGCGACCGTCTTCACACTGCGAGGGGCACTGGTGCCTAACTTTGTGAGGCTGAAATGGCTGTGCAAGGAAGGCGGGATAAGGGGGGAATTCCAGTGCAAGCAACGCAGTGCGACCAGTGCAAGCAACGCAGTGCGACCAGTGCAAGCAACGCAGTGCGTCCAGTGCAAGCAACGCAGTGCGTCCAGTGCAAGCAACGCAGTGCGACCAGTGCAAGCAACGCAGTGCGTCCAGTGCAAGCAACGCAGTGCGTCCAGTGCAAGCAACGCAGTGCGTCCAGTGCAAGCAACACAGTGCGACCAGTGCAACGTTATGTTAGGTCAATGTTTTGTTACTACCACGCGTGACCTTTGCCTCCCTTACCCCCTCGTCTTCCCCTCGACTTCGTTTCCCTCCGTTTGCATTCCCTTTCCCGTTTTTTTTTTTACCTGTCCGTCTTGCCCTCCCCAGCCCATATCGTCGCTGCGCGTCGTGTGCCAGACGAAGCTTCCACTCAATCTGTACACCTGACACTCTCTCTTCCCCCCCGCCTCTCTCCCCTCTCCTCCCCCTCTCTCCTGCTCCGCCCCTATCAGCCCATGTCGCAACTGCGCGCTGTGTGCCAGATGAAGCTGCCAGTGCTCTTCACAGACGAAGTCACCAAGAGAGTGGCAGAGGAGCAGTGTATCCCTTACACTCCCTGTTCCGTTTTTTCCCTTTCCGCTCCCTCTCGCCTCGTCCCCAGCCCATGTCGCAACTGCGCGCTTTGTGCCAGATGAAGCTGCCAGTGCTCTTCACAGATGAAGTCACCAAGGGGGTGGCAGAGGAGCAGCATGCGCAGGCGCTGGCACAGGCCCAGAAGCACAAGGAGAAGGGGAAGGAGAAGGAAAAGCAGGCGCAAGCGCTGAAAACCGTGAAGGAAGGGGAGGAGGGCGGGCAGGGAGGAGCGGAAGGGACAGGATCGCAGGGGGGGAAAGTCGGGAAGGGAGGGAAGGTGAAATTTGCAGGAGAGGCAACTCTGAAAGATGGGCTTTCACGTGTGTGGAAAGGCAGCAAGACAAAGAAGGATTTGGAAGAAGAGCAGGAGGAGGCGAGGAGGAAGGAGGAGGAGAGGAGGAGGGAGGAGGAGAGGAGGAGGAGGGAGGAGGAGGAGAGGCGGCTGATGGAGAGGGCGGAGAGGAGGGAGGAGATGAGTGGGCAGTCAATGGACCGGCTTCTCTCCTCCATTGCTGCCAAGGACAAGAGCCACGTCTATGTGCGTGCATACCATTGCCTGCATGCTTCCTGTCTCTACGCATGCATGTTCCCCAGTCTACACATGGACAAGAGCCACGGCTATGTGGGAGAACACACACGGCGATGTGAACCCTCTCATCACGGCGATGTGAACCTCTCATCACAACGATGTGAACCCTCTCATCAAGACGTCACGCGCGGACTTAAAGCTGCTACATGTCCAGTTCACATTGCACACGCTTCCCCCTTGCCATATCGCACACCCCTTCCCTCCTCTCTCCCTCCCCTCCTCCCCACTACAGCTGTGGGAGCTCTTTCTCAAGACGTCCCGCGCGGATTTCAAGCTGCTCTCCCTTCTCCCCCACTACCCCTCCCCCCTGCCCCCGTTCCCCTCTCCCCCTCCCCCCTGCCCCCGTTCCCCTCTCCCCCTCCCCCCTGCCCCCGTTCCCCTCTCCCCCTCCCCACTACAGCTGTGGGAGCTGTTTCTCAAGACGTCCCGCGCGGATTTCAAGCTGCTGCAGCAGCGCCTGGAGGCAGCACTGCTGGAGGTGCAGGCCGTCAAGTCGCAACTGGTGGGTGCTGCTGGGTGCTGCTGGGCGCTGCTGGGTGCTGCTGGGTGCTGCTGGGTGCTGCTGGGTGCTGCTTGGTGGTGGTGAGAGGCAAGGCAGTGGATGTGGGTGCATGCAATGCAGGCAAGGTCAGAGCAGCGCTTTGCTTTCTGACCAATCTCACGACCTCATTGCTGGGCCTCCATTGCTCTCCTTCTCGCTCTGTACTCGGCACACCAAGCTCCTTCACACCAATCTCCTTCACACCAATCTCCTTCACACCAATCTCCTTCACACCAATCTCCTTGGCACCAAGCTCAATCTCCATATTCAGGTACACAACACAACTCCTCTCCATCCCTCTCCCCCTCCTCAGCACCCCCTTCCCCCACACCTCCCCTTGCTCCCACTTCCTCTCCCTTCCTCCCCCTCTCGTTTCACTTAGATTTTCGGACCTGCAAGCCCTCTCTCCGTATCATTCTCAAACCTCTCTGACTCCTCCTTGCTTTTTGAGTCTCTCTCCTAACTCTTCTTTTCCTCCCCTCTTCCTTCACCAGAGCATGGATCTGCCTGCTCTCACCGTCTCCTTCTCAAGCCTCTCTGACTCCTCGCCGCTTTTTGAGTCGACTCATGAGTCTTCCCCCTACCTCGCCCCTACTTCCCCTCTTCCCCTTACCTTCCCCTCTTCCCCTTACCTTCCCTGCTCCCCCTTACCTTCCCCTACCTCGCCCCTACTTCCCCTCTCCCCCTTACCTTCCCCTCTTCCCCTTACCTTCCCCTCTCCCCCTTACCTTCCCCTCTCCCCCTTACCTTCCCCTCTCCCCCTTACCTTCCCCTCTCCCCCTTACCTTCCCCTCTCCCCCCTAACTACATCCAGGTCATGGATCTGCCAGCTCTCACCGTCTCCTTCTCAAGCCTCTCCGACTCCTCGCTCCCCTCGCCCACCAAAGCCTCCTCCGCACCCTCCCGAGACACCAGCTTTGCACCACCGCACTCCACCGCTCCCTACTCCCGCTCCTTCTCCAACAACCAGCTGAACCCCTCCGGCAGCAGCAGCAGCTCTGAACACGCCAACATGCGCCCGCCCTTCACCCCGAAACCCACCACGTCCGAATCCGCGCTGCTCCCAGTGTCCATCTCCTCGCTCTCCTCCGCCCAGCCGTCCTCTCTGACCTCTCTGGCCTCCTCCTCCAGCAGTCTGCAGCTGGGCGGGTCAGGGGGGTCGCGCACCCTGAGCAAGTGGGGCGCGGGGGGGGAGAGTGCGGTTGAGAAGGAGCTGCAGCGCAAGGAGATGATGCGGAGGGCGTTGATAGAGGAGAACAACGAGCTCAAGGATAGGCTGGAGGAGAAGGAGAAGCGGGAGAGGCAGGCGCTGCGCAAGGCGGATGTCATGAAACAGGATGCGGTGAGTGGGGCGGGGCGGGGCGGGGCGGGCGGGTGAGGTGAGGGTGGGGTGTGGAGAAGGGGGAACATGCTTGTGTGCTTTCTTTGGAGGAGAGGGAGAAGAAGGAGCGGCAGGCACTGCGCAAGGCGGATGTCATGAAACAGGACGCGGTGAGTGGGGCGGGCAGGTGAGGTGGGTGGGGGTGGGGTGTGTTGGGGGGGAATGCATGTATGGTTCCTTTGTTTATTATTCTCAGAGGTGAGTGGGGTACGGCAGGGGAGAGTGCGGGGGAAAAGGATCTGCAGCGCAAGGAGATGATGCCGCGGGCGCTGATTGAGGAGAATAATGAGTTGAAGGATAGGTTGGAGGAACGGGAGAAGAAGGAAAGGCAGGCGCTGCGCAAGGCGGAAGTTATGAAGTAGGACGCGGTGAGGAGGGGGGGGGGGAGGAGGGGGGGAGGTGGGGAAGGCGAAGAGGAGATGGGGGGGAGGAAACGGTTGGGAGGCTGAGCAATAATGGAGTAGTTTTTTAGGGTATCCTTTCCTCTTGCTCTCTGTGAACGCCCGTGTCAGCTTTCCTGTTTCAGTTGTTTCGCTTCCTCTTCCTCTCCCCATGCGCACCACCTTCCCTTCCCATGCAATCCACCTACCTTGTGCCTTCCATCTTGTTCCACAAGCTTTACACCTCACGCCCTCCCCACCTCGTTCCGATTTTAGTCGTGTTTTGAGTCGACACAAAACACCTTCCATCTTGTTCTACAAGCTTTACAGCATCACGCCCTCTCCTCCTTGTTCCGATTTTGACACTCGCAATGCACGTGGCAGGACACGACGAGGAGCCAGCTGCAGGCGATGCAGCAGCGGCTGGAGGAGGAGGAGGCGCAGCGGCAGACGCTGCTGAGGGAGCTGCAGGCGCTCAGAGCCCAGGTGGTGAGCGGAGGACAGCAGCTGCAGCAGGCGCAGGCACAGCAGCCGCAGCAGGTGCAGCAGCCGCAACAGGGGGTTGCGGAGGAGGAAAAGGAGGAGAAGCAGCAGCAGCAGCAGCAGCAGCAGCAATGGGAGACTGAGGAGCAAGCAGGGGAGTCGCAGGAGGAGACAGACCATGAGCATGCGCATGCGCATGCAGACAAGCAAGGCGAGGAGGGGTTGCAGACTAGTGATCAGTGTAGTGAGAGGGCGAGTAGTGAGAGAGAGGAGGAGAGGGCGAAGAGGAAGGAGAAGAAGGAGAAGAAGGAGAAGAAGAGTAAGGAGGAGAAGAAGGAAAAGAAGAAATCCAAGGAAAAGAAAGCAAAGGAGGGTTCAAAAGGAGTGACTGACGGGGAGGAGGAAACACAGCAGCAGAGGCGACGCAGCAGCAGCAGCAAGAGCAGCAAAGTCCAGAGCAGCAAGAGCAGCAAGAGCCTGATTTCATGTCATTTCTGATGAAGCAGGCTGCTGCAGATGCTGCCGCGAAGAGTGCTTCACACGGAATAACTACGTATGCTCCTGCTGCTGCTGCTCCCATTGCTGCTCCTGCTGCTGCTCGTCCGGCTGTTGCTGCTGCTCGTCCGGCTGTTGCTGCTGCTCCTGCTTCTGTCAGCGCTGCTGTTACCTCCCCGGGACCAGCAAGTATCAGGACTCCTCGCAAGCTGGAAATTCCGTTCAACAACAACGATGATGATGATGATTATGACATTCGGGGGAGCTTCGCTGCTCCTCCTGCTGCTGCTCAGACCGTTGCTTCTGCCTCTCGTGTTCTTGCCAACGCTGCTCCTGCACCTGCTCCTGCGTCTGCTCCTGTAGCTGCTGCTACTGCATCTCTGGGGGCGTCAGCCAGCAGGGGGCGTGGGAAGCTGGTCATTCCCTTTGACGACGACGACGATGACGATGCCTAATGAAAAGCATGAGATGGAAGAGGGAATAGCAACTGGCAACGCTTTTGAGGCGCTCGAAACATCGCCTCTGGAGCCGTCAGAAAGCAGGGGGTGTGGTAAGCTGGTCATCCCAATTGACGACGAGTCGACGACGACGATGACGATGTCTAGTCAAAGCAAGAGCGGAAAGGCAGAATACGCAAGTGGAGACGGCAGCATGGTGGCAAGTGGAGGCGGAAGATGTAGAGCAAGAGATGAAAGAGCTCTAGCATGTGTTCACGGCTGCACGCGCAACAGTGTGAGCAGCGTGGTGGTACAAGCAGGAATAGTGCTGCTCATAATCCCTCTTGGAGGCGGCAAAGGAAATCACTCGGGTGAATCTCTGCTGGAAGATGATGATCCTGTGACCTGTCTTTTCATGCATGTGTGGACCTTATCACTTGTCTAGTAAACCCGCTGCGTGGACTCCAAACTAGCTGAATGTTTGACTTATATATCAAATTGCTGTATTGAGTGTGATTTCCAATAATTGCAGTTTCTTCTGTGATCGAAACGACAACTTCAAGGCGGACCTCCTCGATTTCCCCGATTCATTGAGGCTTTGTTTTGCATGCGCATCAGCCCGCATCAATGTGCATTGATACATTCTATGATGGCTCCAGAATCCTTCCGCGATAACCTGCCGACAGGTTATCAAGGCTCGAGATAAGCGCGTGGATGCCGAGGCAAACCAAGCCCGAATGCCTGCAGAACGGCCTTTTTGGCGACCCACACATTTGCCGCGTTCCCAGTAATTTTTCGTCCTACCAATCTGGCGCATCATTGATGCTGGCATCATCCAACTCCGAGAAGTCGGATGATGCGCGCATCAGCTCGAATGGGGCAACTGAAAGCTTGTTCTGTCTGACTTCTACGAAGCCCGCTTCTCCAATTTCAGGAAATTGGAGATTGAAATGTCAGCCCAATCTCCAATTTCTCAATCCCCAAACCTCAATGTCCCAATGTCCGCATCCGGCCGAGCCTCAGGCGCATCAGAGCTGATGCGCCTGCAGAACGCAGCCTGGAGTCTTTCAGCCCGTCTTTAAAGCAGCAGTATACATTTGACAGTACTGTTTGAGGATCTACAGAACGCACGGCGTTTTCGCCAAAACGAAAACAAAAGATTGGCGAGAGGGTTGGCGAAAATCTGAAGCGGGGAACCAGGGTTGGGTTGGGGAGTCACAACAAAATGGGAAAATCTCCCGTCACCAAGCTACCGTACGTTGCTACTCTCACACACTTGGCGATTGAATCAGCGACTACTAGTAATTTCAGCGACATAACTAACCATGCTGGGCTGGAGGCTGCTATACTAATAGCGCAACATCTCACATGGTCGGCTGGGAGTATCTACACATGTACAGATTAGGCTATGCCTCGAAAACGACCATCAATCGAGCCCCGCATCTCTCTTTCGGTTTGCCCCGCCGCTTTGCATTCGGACTGCCGCTGCGTGGCATTCGCCGAGCCCGCAGTGTATGCGGCGTGCCTGTCGTAACCTATTTCTTAGGCGCCACGGCTAGTCGCATTCGGCGGGATCGCTGCAATGCAATCGTTGCATTCAAAATCGACAAATTTGGTAAGGCAACTGTCTGCCCACCTTCCTGCCCCGCCGCGTTGCCCTCGGCGGGCTCAACGCGCTCAGGCCTGCGAGCTTAGCGCCTCACCCGCTTAGCGCCTCACCCGCTTAGCGCGTCACCTGCTGCTCGCCTCACCTGCTTAGCGCGTCACCCGCTTAGCGCGTCACTCGCTTAGCGCCCCTCTGTCCCCTCCTTTCCGCCCCTGAATTCCCTCCTTTTCCCCCCCTTGCTTCCCCTCCTTTCCCCCCCTTGCTTCTCCTCCTTTCCCCCCTTGCTTCCCCTCCTTCCCCCCCCCCTGATTCCCCTCCTTTCCGCCCCTGCTTCCCCTCCTTTCCCCCCCTTGCTTCCCCTCCTTTCCCCCCCTGCATTCCCTCCTTTTCCCCCTTTGCTTCCCCTCCTTTCCGCCCCTGCATTCCCTCCTTTCCCCTCCCTTGCTTCCCCTCCTTTTCCCCCCCTTGCTTCCCCTCCTTCCCCCCCCCCTGATTCCCCTCCTTTCCGCCCCTGCTTCCCCTCCTTTCCCCCCCTTGCTTCCCCTCCTTCCCCCCCCTGCATTCCCTCCTTTTCCCCCTTTGCTTCCCCTCCTTTCCGCCCCTGCATTCCCTCCTTTCCCCTCCCTTGCTTCCCCTCCTTTTCCCCCCCTTGCTTCCCCTCCTTCCCCCCCCCCTGATTCCCCTCCTTTCCGCCCCTGCTTCCCCTCCTTTTCCCCCTTTGCTTCCCCTCCTTTCCGCCCCTGCATTCCCTCCTTTTCCCCCCCTTGCTTCCCCTCCTTTCCCCCCCTTGCTTCTCCTCCTTTCCCCCCTTGCTTCCCCTCCTCCCCCCCCCCCTGATTCCCCTCCTTTCCGCCCCTGCTTCCCCTCCTTTCCCCCCCTTGCTTCCCCTCCTTCCCCCCCCTGCATTCCCTCCTTTTCCCCCTTTGCTTCCCCTCCTTTCCCCCAGCCAATCCCTTCCTTTCTCCCCCTTGCGTCCCCTCCTTTCACCCCCCCCCCCCCCCCCTGTATCCCCTCCTTTCCCCCCCTGTATCCCCTCCTTTCCCCCCCTGCATCCCCTCCTTGCCCCCCCTGCTTTTCCTCCTTTCCACCCCTACTTTCCTCCTTTTCCCCCTTTGTTTCCCCTCCTTTCCCTCCGATCCCCCCCCCCCCTTGTATCCCCTCTCCCCCCCGTGATTCCCCTGCTTTCCGCTGCTGCTTTGCCTCTTTTCCCCCACTGCATCCCTCATTTCCCCCACTGCATCCCTCCTTTCCCCTACTGCATCCCTCCTTTCCCCCACTGCATCCCTCCTTTTTCCCCACTGCATTCCTCCTTTCCCCCACTGCATCTCTCCTTTCCCCCACTGCATCCCTCCTTTCCCCCACTGCATCCCTCCTTTCCCCCCTGCTAGCACATCGTTCCTGCCTGACTTGAGGTCACTCCTCCCCACCCTTCCTTCCGATCTCTCCTGCCTTACACGCCATCTCATGTCTCTTCCTTCCCAACACCCTTATGTTCCTCACCATTTACCCTCTTTGCCTTCGCTTTTCCAGGCCCTTCCATCCCATCCCCCCTCTCGTCCCTTTCATCTCCCTGCCAACACACCTGTCAAGACACTGGCGTATGCGCTGCAAGTGATGCAAGCACTGGCAGGGTGTGAGGTGCGGTGAGTCAGAGCGGTGGTGGTGTTGCCCACTCAAGACCAACTCACACCTACCTCAGCTCACTTTCCCAGCCAATGTTTAACCATCAACCTTCCTCTCCCACCATTGCCCCGCAATCTAACTTGTCTTTTTGCCCAACACACAATCCCGCTCTCCCCCTCTCCCTCTCTCGCCCTCCTCGCCCACGACCGTGCCATTCTGCCTACTCCAGCAGGTGAAGCACGTGTTTGACACCATGGCGCCAGCTGTCGGCCTCTCAATGGATCCCATCAACGGCCAATCATCACTCGCTGACGAGGCAATCCACCTGAGGGGCCCTTCACATCTCCACTCCCTGCCTTAACATCTCCACTCCCTGCCCTTCCCTTTTCCTGCCCCACCCTTCTCTTCCCGATCCCTCTTCCCTTCCCTTCCCTTGCATGCGCTCCCCTTCCCCCTCACCCACTTTTCCCTTCTGCCCCGCGGTGCTTGTGCATATGGTTCCCTTGTAAGCTTGCTTGTATTCAGGGTCTGTTTCTCCTCTTCCGCCTCATAGCACGTCCCCACTGGGTCTTCACACAATCGTTTATGCCTACTCTGCTAATTGGGAGTGCTGAAACAGGGCAGCAGATGCAAACAAAGGCACAGCTTGTAGTGGATGGTGCTCAGAACTTTCGTATAGTCTCGTGTGCATTGTACGGTATTAGTGTGTTACTGCTAGAGATATTCGTCACAAAGCCCGCTATGTGCTACCACGATTTCAGCAGTGAAGATTATTCATCCAAGATGCATGGACAGTGAAGGTGTCACATCACATACAGGTAGAAAGAAATATGTTCTCGCTAAGTCGAATACAGTACTATTGACCTTTCTCTAGCTTATTTGACATGAGATGGTGAGAGGCGAGTTGAAGCATGAAGATCTTCAGAGCAGTTGGTCACTGAAATACAGGTAGTCGGGGAGGGGGAGTATTTGATTCAACCATGGGCTGTGATGACAGAAGTGAGGAGGGGAAATGAGGGGAATCAGGGGGGGAAATGAAGGGAGGCAGGAGGGAGCAGGGGAGAAGTAAGGAGAAGCAGGCTTTGGAAGGGTTTCGGGAGGATGCAGGGAGGGGAGATGGGGATGCAGGGAGGGGAGATGGGGATGCAGGGAGGGGAGATGGGGAAACATGCAGTGGATATGGGGAAGCAGGAAGGGGAGAGAGGTATGCAGGGCAGGGAGATGGGGATGCAGGGAGGGGAAGGGAAGAGGGGTTGAGGAGATGGGGAGGCGGGGTGGAGGGGTGAGGATGAAGAGGTCGGACGAAAGGGCAGAATGAGAGGAACTGAGAGGAAGGGGAGATGGGGAGGCGGGGTAGCGAGATGGTGAGGCGGGATGTGAAGAACAAAAGGGGGAGAAAGAAAAGATGCGCAGAGAGGGTTGACGCTGATGGGGGCAGTCCGAAGGGGGAGGAGGAGAAGGAGTGGGAGAGGACGAGAAGGCACGGCGGGAGGGGGAGGAGGCAGGGAGGGAGGAGGAGAGGGGGTGGCAGGAGGAGGAGAAGGCATGGTGAGAGGACGAGAACCTATGGCGAGAGGACGAGAGGGGGTGGCGGGAGGGGGAGAAGGCATGGCGGGAGGAGGAGAAGGGGAGAAATGAGGGCAAGCAGGGGAGAATTGAGGGCAAGCAGGGGAGAATTGAGGGCAAGCAGGGGAGAATTGAGGGCAAGCAGGGGAGAATTGAGGGCAAGCAGGGGAGAATTGAGGGCAAGCAGGGGAGAAATGAGGGCAAGCAGGGGAGAATTGAGGGCAAGCAGGGGAGAATTGAGGGCAAGCAGGGGAGAATTGAGGGCAAGCAGGGGAGAATTGAGGGCAAGCAGGGGAGAATTGAGGGCAAGCAGGGGAGAATTGAGGGCAAGCAGGGGAGAATTGAGGGCAAGCAGGTGGGGGAATGCGATCGTGCAAAGGGGGAAAATAAGGCGTACAAGGGAGAAAATGAGGGCGTGCAAGGTGGGGAAACGAGGGCAAGCAGGGAGGGAAAACGAGGGCGTACATGTGGGGCAGTGAGGGCAAACAGGGGGGGCTTTTGAGGGCGTGCAGCAGGGATGCGGAAGCACAGCCGTTGCAAGAGAGTGAGAGAGGGTTGAGGGCCTTATTCGAGTGCAGCTCGTGAAAGGAGGCCGCCGCGAGACGCGGAGAGGCAGCGAGGGGAGGCAGGGAAGATGCGCAAGCTAGATGCGCATGCTAGATGCGCAAGCTAGATGCGCAAGCTAGATGCGCATGCTAGATGCGCATGCTAGATGCGCAAGCTAGATGCGCATGCTAGATGCGCATGCTAGATGCGCAAGCTAGATGCGCATGCTAGATGCGCATGCTAGATGCGCATGCTAGATGCGCAAGCTAGATGCGCATGCTAGATGCGCATGCTAGATGCGCATGCTAGATGCGCAAGCTAGATGCGCATGCTAGATGCGCATGCTAGATGCGCATGCTAGATGCGCATGCTAGATGCGCAAGCTAGATGCGCAAGCTAGATGCGCATGCTAGATGCGCATGCTAGATGCGCATGCTAGATGCGCATGCTAGATGCGCAAGCTAGATGCGCATGCTAGATGCGCATGCTAGATGCGCATGCTAGATGCGCAAGCTAGATGCGCATGCTAGATGCGCATGCTAGATGCGCATGCTAGATGCGCAAGCTAGATGCGCATGCTAGATGCGCATGCTAGATGCGCATGCTAGATGCGCAAGCTAGATGCGCAAGCTAGATGCGCATGCTAGATGCGCATGCTAGATGCGCATGCTAGATGCGCATGCTAGATGCGCAAGCTAGATGCGCAAGCTAGATGCGCATGCTAGATGCGCATGCTAGATGCGCATGCTAGATGCGCAAGCTAGATGCGCATGCTAGATGCGCATGCTAGATGCGCATGCTAGATGCGCAAGCTAGATGCGCATGCTAGATGCGCATGCTAGATGCGCATGCTAGATGCGCAAGCTAGATGCGCATGCTAGATGCGCATGCTAGATGCGCATGCTAGATGCGCATGCTAGATGCGCATGCTAGATGCGCAAGCTAGATGCGCAAGCTAGATGCGCATGCTAGATGCGCATGCTAGATGCGCATGCTAGATGCGCAAGCTAGATGCGCATGCTAGATGCGCATGCTAGATGCGCATGCTAGATGCGCATGCTAGATGCGCAAGCTAGATGCGCAAGCTAGATGCGCATGCTAGATGCGCATGCTAGATGCGCATGCTAGATGCGCAAGCTAGATGCGCATGCTAGATGCGCATGCTAGATGCGCATGCTAGATGCGCAAGCTAGATGCGCATGCTAGATGCGCATGCTAGATGCGCATGCTAGATGCGCAAGCTAGATGCGCATGCTAGATGCGCATGCTAGATGCGCATGCTAGATGCGCATGCTAGATGCGCATGCTAGATGCGCATGCTAGATGCGCAAGCTAGATGCGCAAGCTAGATGCGCATGCTAGATGCGCATGCTAGATGCGCATGCTAGATGCGCATGCTAGATGCGCAAGCTAGATGCGCATGCTAGATGCGCATGCTAGATGCGCATGCTAGATGCGCATGCTAGATGCGCATGCTAGATGCGCATGCGCGGGAAGGCGAGGAGGAAACGCGTGGAGGCGAGAGTCGCACGCGCGGGGAGGCGAGAGGAGCAGGCGCGGGGAGGCGAGAGGAGCAGGCGCGGGGAGGCGAGAGGAGCAGGCGTGGGGAGGCGAGCGGAGAACGCGCGGCAAGGCGAGAGGAGGCCGCGCGTGGAGGCGAGAGGAGGCCGCGTGGTGAGGCGAGAGTCGAGCGCGCGGGGAGGCGTGAGGAGGAAGCGCGGGGGGAAAGCGAGAGGAGAGCGCGGGGATGCGAGAGGAGCACGCCCGGGGAGGCGAAAGGAGAATTCGAACCGGGAGGCGATAGGAGCAGGAATGGGTAAGGCGGCGGAATGGGGATTGCGGGCGGAAATGAGGTTGCGGAAAAGGGGATTCCAGTGCTCTGGAACGAGGGCGTGCAAGGAGGGAAACGAACGAGGCAGCGTGGTTCGGCGAGGGGAGACTCACTCCGGACGTCGTCCAGCGAAAGGCGAACGACGGAAGGCGAACGTGAAAGGAAGGGCACGCGAGCGGCGAGGCGTCCAGCAGCGGCTTACCACGCGCGGCGAACGGCGGACGGCGAGCTACGAGTGGAGGACGGGATGGGATGCCAGATGCTAGCGCGTCGAGGCTAAGCAGGACTCTGTGGGGAGGGGAGGCGCTGGCGCTAATGGCCTCGCGGTGAGGCAGCGAGAGGAGGCGTGGGGCGGCCTTGTCTAAGGTGGCGTGGTCTAAGCGAGTGCGTACGAATGGGCAATTTGTCCGCGCATGCGCTTGAACAGTGTTACGCGGTTCAATAAATAATTCTGTCCCTAAATCCAGCGGTTAGGTCAGAACGTTGCCCAGTCTACGGGGAATCAGCTACCGAAGTAGGAGCTTGTGGGCTATCCTCTCACTACTGCAGTTTCAGTTTCCTTTTGCAATTCCTTAGGTTTTGAACTGTGAGTGCGGGGAGCCGGACGTGGGGCGTTTGGGGACTCGCTTCGCTTGTGAAGCGGGGGGTTGGGGTTGTAATCGCGTAACCAGTTTTTCAAGTTCCTAAGGTTTTTGAAACTCCTGCTTGCAAAAGTATACTGCTGCTTTAAGACAAGTTATGCGGGGCAGCAATTTGAGAGATTCGAGAGTTCGAGCAAAATTTCATGGCAACTTCTGCCCAGCAAATTGAGAGATTCGACATTTGGTGCGGCGAGAAGCTACACGGAAGGACTAGGTCCGTACATTTGGTGCGGAGGCAATAACGCCTACAGAACAGCTCCTCTGTCATTTTCAGATTCCGTAACTTGGAGTTCCACCTCCTCAATCAAGCTCCCAGATCAGCGAGAATCTCTACGATTCTTCTTGGTCAGGCAAAATCCGTAGCACTGGTGGTGCCTTTATTGAGCGAACATCTGGGACAAAGCAAGGCCAACGAATCTCGCCGAGGCTGAGAATTCGGTTCTTCTGGGAATGCTGTTTCGCTTCTTCCTTCACAATTGCGTAGCAAGGCAGCTGAAGTTGCGTTCGTAAGAATGGCAGCAGCTGCTGTTCATATCCAGCCGAAGTCTCTGACATTCCCGTGTAAGACAACAGTCACTGACACCTTGTTACCACCATTAGCGGCCTTTCATTAATCAGGCTTTTCTCGACTTGTGTGACGTCATTAGCGACCCCTTCTTTTAAATCGTTCATTGCACAGCATATACAATGAAGTCCTGTACTTTACATCTGGCAGTCGAGGCGAATAAGGAGCTTTCGGTGACCGTTCAAATAACCAACGGTTACCCTCGCGAAATCCTACTCTTTGTGAGTGACAGGAAGATGCGAACCAAGGGAGGAGGATGTGAGGAGGATGATGTGAGGAGGAACATGTGAGGAAGATGTGAGGAGGATGATGTGAGGAGGAAGATGTGAGGAAGAAGATGTGAGGAGGATGATGTGAGGAAGAAAATGCGAGGAGGATGATGTGAGTATTTTCTGTTTCCTCCTCAACGATCCGTTCAATGTTCTTTGCAGCGGCGTTAGACGATTCTTCTGTCTGATTTTTAGCATTCTGCCTTTTATCCTCGCCAAATCAAATCACTCTGCTTCGCTCTCTTGCGCCCTGCACCACTCACTCTCGCAACTTCTCCACCCTTCTCCGCTGTTGGAGCAGGTGGACCCTGGGTCAGTGCGAAGCTACGCGGTGGTGGAAAGGCTGAAGCACATTGTGCAGACAGGACGGTCGATTATTGACATTTGATTCGACTCAAGAGTCACATTGTTCCGTGTGCAGGTGGAGCCTGATTCAGTGCGACGCTACGCGGTGGTGGAAGGGCTGAAGCACATTGTGCAGACAGGACGGTCGATTATTGACATTTGATTCGACTCAAGAGTCACATTGTTCCGTGTGCAGGTGGAGCCTGGTTCAGTGCGACGCTACGCGGTGGTGGAAGGGCTGAAGCACATTGTGCCAACTGGAGGATCCACCACACTCACGAGTACGCACTGTCTGACGCTAACAAGTAGGCATGGCATCACACTCGCAGGTACGCACTGTTTGATGCTAACAAGTATGCATGGCGTCACACTCGCAAGTATGCATGGCGTCACACTCACAAGTATGCATGGCGTCACACTCACAAGTATGCATGGCGTCACACTCACAAGTATGCATGGCGTCACACTCGCAAGTATGCATTTCATCACACTCACAAGTATGCATTGCATCACACTCACAAGTATGCATTGCATCACACTCACAAGTATGCATGGCATCACGCTCACAAGTATGCATTGCATCATCTCGGTCACACGTATGGCATCACATTCACTAGTATGCATTGCGTCACACTCACTGTTATGCATTGTATCATTTTCTAACTTTCTCGACTTTCCTCTCTTCATCTCTCACCCACCCTCCCCTCTCCGTCCCTCACCCACCTTCCTCTCTCCCCCCCAGTGCTGTGCTCTCCCCTGCCAGCCATGCCCATCTTCCCTGACCAATTCCGTGTAACCACCTACAGGGCTGGTTACCACTCCTCAGACGCCCTATCGATCTGCAGTGTACGTCACTCACTCACCCCCACTGCACATCACTCGCCTTGATTAAGCGCCGCGTATGCCTCTCATACTATGTCGCGTCTGAAGCCTCTCATACTATGTCGCGTCTGAAGCCTCTCATACAATGACGCATCTGAACCCTGTCATGCTATGACGCACCTGAAGGTTCTCGGGCTGTTGCGCGTCTGAAGGCTCTCAAGCTTCGCAGCTCTTAGAATATGGCCAGACAGCTGGCTCTTGAGGCACCTGCAACCGTTGTGTATCTTGTGTCTTTGTCCACTCCAGCCATGTTCTTTAACGTCCAAGCCACGGCTATGCATGTGCTTGAGTCATCTGACGAGATGCCATGCGTAACGCAACGCATATGCATACTTGTCAGTGTGACCCAACACGTGTGTACCTTACACCCGCAATCCCTTCCCCTCTCCCACAACCCCACCCCATCTCCATCCCCACGCCATCCCCCTCTCTTGTTACAGCCGCTGTCCTCCCTTGAGATTGTGAGTGCAACCAATCTGCCAGTGCTGTTCGCCTGCAAGTCTGCCAGCACGAGGGGAGTAGCGTCTTCAGGAATGGGTGAGAAGCGGGGGATAGCAGCAGCGCATGCAGCACGGGAAGGGATTGGGGTAATGTGGGCAGTAGTGAGAGATAAGCTAGGGAGGCTGCAGCAGGAGAGGATGGGGGAGGGACAGGAAGAGGAGAAGGTGAGGGAGGAGGAGCAGCAGGTTGAGCTGGGAGCGGTAGACAGGCGGATAATTCTATCCAAGGGTGGTGTGGCGGCAAAGGAAATGGCGCGAGTGCGGGAATTGGATTCTGCTCAAAGTGAAAGCAAAGGGCGAGTTCAAGGGGTTGGGCGAGGGCAAGAATCAGGAACAGAAGGAACGAGGATCGAAGGAGGGAGGGAAAGTCCCGGAACAGAGGGAGCAGGGACTGAAGGAGTATGGAGGGAAGGAGCAGGAGGAGCAGCAGCAGAGATGAGTTCAGCGGCCAACAACCCAACAAAGTGGCTCATATCACGAGTCATGAGCCGGCATCCGAGCCACGAATATGTATGTACGTGCTGCTGTGACTTTTCAGTCGACCCACATGGTCACCTCATATATCACGAGTCATGAGCCGGCGTCCAAGCCACGAATATGTATGTACGTGCTGCTGCCACTTCTCAGTCCAGTCCTCTGAAAGGTCGTCCCATTTCAGCAGCAGCAGAGAGGAGTTTACCAGGTCACAATTTAACGAGGTGGTTCATATCATGAGTCATGAGCCGGCATCCGAGCCACGAATATGTATGTACGTGCTGCTGTGAGTTCTCAGTCGCCTCCAATAGTCACCTCATTTCACAGCCGCCCCCCCCCCCCTCTCTCTCTCTCTCTCTCCCTTCCTTACCAGTCCTCCTCCCGCTTCCTCCTCCCCTTAATGGCTCTTATGAGTGTCTTGATGTTGGTCAAACTCTAGCCCTCTTCCTTCACCCCACGCCCCTCCCTCCCATCCCTCCCTCCCGCTTTCTCCCTCACTTATGACTCGACTCAATTCCCCCCCTTTCCCCGCCCCCCCCTCCCCCCTCCCCCTTCCCCCCTCCAAGCAGCTGTGGGAGAGATTTCTTAAGTCCACTCGTGCGGACTTTGCAGGACTGCAGAGGCACGTGGTGGACGTGAGCTTGCAGATGGAGCAGTTGCGGGAGGAGAACCAGAGGCTCAGGGAGGCGCTGCAGCAACAGCAGGTACGGGGGGCAGAGGGGGGCACGCTAGAGGTAGGTGTTACGATCACTGTACCCCACGCAGAGGCACGTGGTGGACGTGGGCTTGCAGATGGAGCAGTTGCGGGAGGAGAACCAGAGGCTCAGGGAGGCGCTGCAGCAACAGCAGCAGCAGGTATGGGAGACAGATGGAGGCAGGCTACAGGTAGGTGCTGCATCCGTCAAGCTTGGTGGTTTCTAGTTTCAGATGACACTGCAATGCCTGTTACGTAGAAAGGATGACACCATGGTTCAAAGGGACTCGGCTGTTGGTATTGAGTCAGAATGTTGTTGCCACTTGGGGAGCGCAGCTGCTCTAGAGCCACAATGCAGTTGCTGCAGCAGTCTTGAGTTTCACGCACGAATGCTACCAGCAACCACTGACTCGACTTGCCTTGCACTGAGCCATGGTTTGCGTTCTCAAGATCCACCCTTTTCCTGTCCGCCGCCTCTGCATCCCCCCAGTCTGCACAGGTCTTGGAGGTGCGGGAGGGTATGGGGGAGGAGGAGGAGGCGCAGGGGAGGGAGGAGGTGCAGCGAGAGCTCTGGGAGGAGAACAACCAACTACAGGCGTCTCATGCTTCTGAAGCCTGCGCGGATTCTGAGGCACCTCAAGAAGCACCGCTGGGAGGGAGCAGCGACCTCAATCCTTCTGAAGCTTCAGAGGCTTCTGAGGCTTTTCAGCCTTCAGAGGCTTCTGCGACTTCAGCGGCTTCGGAGGCCTTAAATGCGGGTCAAAGGACACTGGTGGAGGAGAACCGGGAGCTGCGGGAGAGGGTGGAGGAGAGGGAGAGGGCTGTGAGGGCGGCTCAGAGCACTTCGGACGCTCTCGCCAGTGAGCTGGTGAGTGGTCCGTCTGTGGAGCATTGGTGATGGTTGGCATGCAATCCGCACCCCTTCCCACCACACCCCTTTTCAACACTTGTTTCCTCACCGCTCCGCCCCTTCTTCTCTCCCCCAACCCCTGCAGGCAGCAGCGCAGTCCCAGTTGTCAGCAGCGCAGCAGCAGGCGCAGTTGGAGAGAGAGGGGCGGCAGAGGCTGGCGGGGGAGCTGGCTTCCATGCAGGCGCTGCTGCTGCAGCAGATGCAGATGGTGGCGGAACAGAAGGAGCTCATTGCAAGGCTCCTTGAGCGTCAGCAGCATCAGGCTGACGTTTTAGAGCCAGGAGGGTCAGGGACAGTGGGCCAAGGGGCAGTGGGCCAAGGGGCAGTGGGCCAAGGGGCAGTGGGCCAAGGGGCAGTGGGCCAAGGGGCAGTGGGCCAAGGGGCAGTGGGCCAAGGGGCAGTGGGCCCAGGAGCAGTGGGATCAGGGGTTGTGGGATCAGGGGTTGTGGGATCAGGGGTTGTGGGATCAGGGGTTGTGGGATCAGGGGCAGGGGAATCAGGGACAGGGGAATTAGGGTCAGGGGAATCAGGGGCAGGGGAATCAGGGGCAGGGGAATCAGGGGCAGGGGAATCAGGGGCAGGGGAATCAGGGGCAGGGGAATCAGGGGCAGGGGAATCAGGGGCAGGGGAATCAGGGGCAGGGGAATCAGGGGCAGGGGAATCAGGGGCAGGGGAATCAGGGGCAGGGGAATCAGGGGCAGAGGGATCAGGGGCAGGAGGGTCACAGGTAGTGGGATCAGAGGTAGTGAGGTCAGAGGTAGCGGGGTCAGAGGTAGTTAGGTCACAAGTAGGGAATTCAGAAGCAGTGGGGTTAGGGAGAGAGGTTGAGGATTGCGAGAGTAGGAGCACGGGCGATGGGGATGGGGAGAAACGGAAGGATAAGAAGGAGAAGAGGGAGAGGAAGGAACGGAAGGAGAGAGAGAGGCAGGAGAGAAAGGAGAGAAAGGAGAGGGAAAAAAGGGAGAAGCGGGAGAAAGGGGAGAAAGGGGAGGATAGGGAGGAGAGGGAAGAGAGGGAGGGGAGGGAGGGGAGGGAGGAGAGGGATGAGAGGGATGAAAGGGAACAGGAGCAGGTGGAGTGCCTTGACAGGAAGGATGCACGAAGAGCAGAAGTGGAAGGAGTTCAGAGGAGTGCGGATGGCAGAAAGCGAGGTGACTGGTGTGATGAAACAGGTGGTGCGGACTATGGTGAGGGGGAGCGATGCAGAGGTGGGGCAGAAGAGGCAGCTGCAGCCGTGGAGAGAAAAAGAGAGGAGCACAGAGGCCCTCAGAATTTTCGAGGCTCTGGGCGTTCTGGAAGGCAGGGCAGGCGACAAGCACTAAACGGAGATGTGGCAAGTGTGGGGAGGGTTGAGGAGGGTGAGGAGGGGAAGCCGGTGAAAGCAACGGAAGGGTCAATGGGCCTGCAATAACCAGTGAAGCTGATGGGTGTGAAGCTAAAGTGGGTAGTTGGGGATGCTGCAGCGGGCAAGCAGGGAGCAAGTGAGATGATATGATGGAGTGAAGCAGATCGGAACTGATCCGGGCCAGTATACAGCTTTTTATGGTACCTTTGTGACAGTGTAACACTTTGGCAAGGTGCAACAGTAATGTTGGTGTTCGATACGGTGTGTTACAAGTGTTTACAACTAAATGAGCGTCTGTTTCATTTGCTGGCATGAATCTGTCGACACGTGGCAACAGCAGCAGCAGCTGAACAACCACCAGACGGCATGACATCAAACAAGCCATGTAAATATAACTACAGACTTCTACACCCAACTCAATGCTACAGCTCCCCCACACCGGCCAGCTACTTCCCCCTCTCCTCCAACGCTCCCTCGGCAGCCTCTCTTGCCACACGGTAGGCTGAAAAGACAGCTGCAAGCTCGCCTTCTCGAGCAAAGGATGCGCCCTCTGTCAGCAACCCGCCTGGAGGCAGGCGGGATAAGTATACGGAAAAGAGTGGCGCAATTAAGTTGGTTTGACAAAAGCAAGCGGGCAGGAGAGGGTGCGAACATGGGTTGGAAGTGACTTTTGAGTCGACTCAAAAGGCAGGAGAGGGTGCGAACATGGGTTGGAAGTGACTTTTGAGTCGACTCAAAAGGCAGGAGAGGGTGCGAACATGGGTTGGAAGTGACTTTTGAGTCGACTCAAAAGGCAGGAGAGGGTGCGAACATGGGTTGGAAGTGACTTTTGAGTCGACTCAAAAGGCAGGAGAGGGTGCGAACATGGGTTGGAAGTGACTTTTGAGTCGACTCAAAAGGCAGGAGAGGGTGCGAACATGGGTTTGAAGTGACTTTTGAGTCGACTCAAAAGGCAGGAGAGGGTGCGAACATGGGTTGGAAGTATGGGTGCCGCCTGCAGGTTGTGGATGTTGCAGATAATTGCCGGGCAGCCAGCGGGGAGTTTTGGAAAAACTCAAAAGCTCCCTACTTCTTACATGTTTTGAGTCGCTGCAGGGAGTTGTCATAGAGCCAGCATGCTGCATCGGCCTGCTCTACGTCCAATACCTCTGCCTGTGAGAGAAGCACGTGGGGCGCACAGACACATGCATGCATGCATGAGACAAGGGGCGAGGGAGACATGCATCCATGCATGAAATAAGGGGGGCCGGGGGACAAGGGGCGACAGACAAGCACAGATGCATGAGTGTTGGATCCATGGTTAGCAACCAGACGGGTGTGGTGAGGCAAGGTGAGGTGAGGTGAGGCGAGATGAGGTGAGGAGAGGAAGCATATGCAGCAATCTGAGACAGATGCGATTTGGATGAAAGGCTGTGCCGATGATGGGTGCATGTGATGGGTGCATGTGATGGGTGCATGTGATGGGTGCATGTGATGGGTGCATGTGATGGGTGCATGTGATGGGTGCATGTGATGGGTGCATGTGATGGGTGCATGTGATGGGTGCATGTGATGGGTGCATGTGATGGGTGCATGTGATGGGTGCATGTGATGGGTGCATGTGATGGGTGCATGTGATGGGTGCATGTGATGGGTGCATGTGATGGGTGCATGTGATGGGTGCATGTGATGGGTGCATGTGATGGGTGCATGTGATGGGTGCATGTGATGGGTGCATGTGATGGGTGCATGTGATGGGTGCATGTGATGGGTGCATGTGATGGGTGCATGTGATGGGTGCATGTGATGGGTGCATGCGATGGGTGCATGCGACGGGAGAATGTGATGGGTATGGTAAAGGGGGATGGCTGGCAGGAATAGCAAAGTCTTACAGCATCAGACTGAATGTGTCGTTCGATGGGGAGATGCGCAAATAGCCTGGCAGGGACGTGAGTGGGCAGAGCAGAACAGGTAGCGTGAGCATGAGTGCATCCAATCCGAAACAGGCAAAGACCTGCACGCTCAACCACCTTCCCAGCCCCGCCCCGCCCTGCCCTGCCCAGGCCAGCCCGGCCCTGCCCTGCCCGCCTGTAACTTCTGCAGCAGCGACTCACTCGTCCCCCCCCCCCCCCCCCCCCCCTCCCCCATCCCTCCCATCACCTTCCAACACACCCACCCAATCACCCACCCGTGCCACTCACTTCTGTTTCATCACTCGCAACTGCTGCTCCACCAGCCTCCTCGCCTGCCCCGCCCTCTGCTGCAAACCCGCCTGCAGCTGCTGCGGCAGCGGCACCGCCCCCACCACAAACGCCGACGAGGGTGGAGCGGGAGTGTGAGGGGAGGAGGAGGAGGAGGCAGGGGGGGGAGCAGAGGGAGGGGAAGAGAGGGGCCCGAAGAAGAGAGCTTGCAGGGAAGCAACGGCATCCCATGCCTTGTGGTGAGGTGCCTCTTGCACAAAGAGGAGCAAGAGACGAAGGGAGTCTGCAGAAGAGACGGGTGGTGGAAGGAAGTGGGAAAGTTTGGCGAAACGAGGAATCCGTGTAAGTATATGCAGGATAGTGGTGGCATGGCATGGCATCTCATCTCATGCCTTACGGTGGGGGGGCTCTTGAGCAAAGAGGAGCAAGAGGCAACGAGAGTCTGCAGGAGAGAAGGGCGGGGAAGGGGAAGGGGAAGGGGAAGGGGAAGGGGAAGGGGAAGGGGAACGGAGTGTGGGGACTGAAAACCAGACTGGCGTCATCAGTGGTATCACACGATCAAGGCACAGAGGAACATCTCGTCAAAACAACGTCTCACCGAGGGGCAGGTAGATGAGGGTGGGCGGATAGGGCGCGGTGCGCTGCGTGTGGAAGAGGCAGTAGAGAGTGAACACCGCCCCCACTGCCGCCAGCAGACGCTCCCCCACAAACACACGACCCTCCTTCCCCACTCCCCCCTCCTCCCCTCTTCCCCTCTCCTCCCCTCTCCCCCCCACCTCCTCTCGCGCCCCTTCTTCCTGTGCATCATCTCCCTCCCTGGCTTCTCGTCCTTGGCCCAGTGGCACAGGCACAGCCCCTGCTGCTACACGCGCTGCACCTCCATCCGCAGCACCACTGGCAGGAGAAGTGGCAGCAGCAGTACCAGGTGCAGCGGAGACAGCGGCGGCAGCGGCGGCAGCGGCGTCAGGAGGAGTGGGTCTGCGATGAATGGAGGAGGCATGGCAGCCGGATGGCACAGCCTGCAAGAACCCTGCAGCGTCGTCAGTTCATTGCACAATAGCGCCGGTAATGCCGGTAACTGAGTCAGACAGGCGGATTCACCCAAGGCTGGTTTGCTCTCCCACCCGCCGCAGTCCCAGCAGGCCGTTCTAATAGCTCACTTGAAAGACGTTACGGCGGCTCATTTAGGCCGTTCGAAGAGCTCACCTAAGGCCGTTCCGTAGAGCAGCTGCAGGAAGCGGCGCGGGTCGATGTCTTTAGGGCACGCGTCGTGGACGAAGGAGAAGCGGCGCGCTCGCCATACGGCTTTAAATGCCGCCAGCGACGGATCTCCGCGCTGCGAAGGGGGAACAGAGACGATGCAGCTTTTTATCAAGGAGCGCTATTGAACTATGAAGGCGGGAAGCGGTGTGGATGCTGGCTAACTTTCTTGCCACATAGTCAAACGTTCATATGAAAAGGCCGCCGGGAACCTACTACCTACTACCTACCTTCACATAGTCGCGCAACAGTTCCTCGACGTCGCGCACGTATCCCGGCACCGCCACTTCCTCCTCCTCCTCCTGCACCTCCTCCATCGCCGCACCGATGCTAGCGGAGTGGCTACAGTGGCCTGGCCCCGTGAAACGGGGGGGGGGGGGGAGTGGAACGAGAAAATGGCGGCGTTTTGCGTTGCTTGCTGACTGCTTTACACGGAAAGTACTCACTTTTACGCGGCACGTGAGTATAGGCGTGTAGTGTAATTGGATTATGTTTTCCAATCCAGTTGGTTTGTGCAGATAGCGAATCACATTCAGGAGTGAGGGGCTTGGGGAGGGGGAGGGGGTTGTGGGGGGGAGAACGAATGATTTGGGAGGGTGCGCGCGCCAAGTTCTGCAGGGGAAGAGCGCACCAGGCGGAGGCGGTGTAGAGGAACAGACGACAATCCAGAAGCGCTGGGGCGAATCAACGAGCATTCTTGCTAGGTTCTGTCACGTGACAAGCAGCTCCCAGATGGCCGTTGCCCTCCAGTTGATCCAGCGGGCAGCATGGCTCCTGACCGTAAACCCTCGTCATTGGTTGTCATCGGGAAAAGGTAAGCCGTGGCGTGATATTTCTGCGTCAGACAACCTCGTTGTGGATAGGGGCTCCGCTTTTCATGTGGTCCAGATTTGTTTTCGCGTCGGTTGTGGAATCGAACGATGATGTGGCGTGGGTGGTGAAAACATCGCTCCACCGCCATCGTGTGAGGTCAGGAGTTGTTGTGGGGCTGGATCAGCGTTCTTTGAAGCTCGGACACCAGACAGTGTGTTTCCTCCTTAGAATAATTGTCCCGGAGGGTATTTTACCCAAACGACCCCACTTTCAAATGATACGGAAACGAGTCTCGCACCTCAGTACAACAGAATGGGACTCAAATTCTTCCTACACTCCAACATAGTGCAGAAGATTCTAAAACCCATACTTCCGAAACTAGAATCTTCACAATATGTCTAGACTTCTATTGTGGGTAATACAAGAACGCCATCCAATTTCCAAGGCCCTGCACTGCCAGCAAAGCACCAACAGAACAATCCATACAGTGGCATCAATATATGTTGTTCCGCAGCGGCCCAATGCAGCCATCAGCATACCCAATTCTTGCGGATCAAGTAGGTATTGGTTCCAGGGGGCTGTGCCCTGGGTAAGTACGTGTACAAAATGCCTGCTCTTAAAAAAAGGATGTAACGGGCTCTTTGGAGTACCTTTTTGGTCGGGTGCTTGAAGGATAACTACCTGTCAATTGCACAAGTATCAGCCCCAAATCAGCGAGCCGAAGCCACGGATTGTTTTCCGCGATATTTGCTCCTCTCCCGAAAAAGCGTCAAACTTTCCGAACTGCCTTCTGCTGGAAAAAGGTCCCAGCCTGAAGATATTTCCGGTCAGAATGCGTGCCTGGTTTCTGGCGTTCCCCATGAATATTTCTTTGTGATGATCCCCGTGAGCCGTTGCTTGTTGGCTTGGCAGCATAGCAGAATCGCTCGCAGGTCGGGTCGGGGACTTGGGAATCGCGGGACACTCCGATCAGCCCAGGAGGACCACTGGGCAAGTGAAGGGTTTCTCATGGCTGCTGCTCAGCTTTGGTGTTGTTTTGCTCCAACTGAATGGCTCCAGCTTGAAACCAACCTTCACAAAGATGCGCCGTGCAGAGAAAGATATGGAGAGTTGAGAGGATTGCAAGCCACCAAGGTCACATTATAGAAGCTCAATCCGCAAAACGAGACCCCAGCTCAGGCAGCTCACTGCGTAATGAGAGATCAGAAGCTAATATACTACCGATGTCTGCTGATCCGATTGATACGTAAGCGTTTACCTTCATTTCATAGCCGTTCAGTGGTGTTTTCTGCTGGTTTGTGAAGATTCTACGATAGTGACAGTTCTTCATCGTTAACTCTTGCGCACCAACCGTTCCCTGCATCCATACGAAGTCCTTAACTCACCACGGTGCTCCTAAACACAATTAGACATGCTAGATTCTTCAGGTCGGCCGCTGCCGCTGCAGCAACAGCAGCAGCCGCAGCAGCAGCCTCAACCACAGCAACCGTCGCAGCAGCAGCGTCCATGTGACGTGGCGACGTTTCAGCGGAGCAGCGTCCACATATTGTTGTCGGATAAGGACAGCGACTCGCGAAGCAGCGTGTTGGAGCTGCTCCGGAGCTGTTCATACCAAGGCAAGCGACCTACACAAAGTCGTGTTTTTTTGTGACCAGGAGGGTGTTGAAAGAAGTCAATCAGTCCGCCATTGCACTTTCCGAGCGTGTTGAAAGGTGTCGCTGACATGTTGAACACCAGCGGCACCAATGTCGCTGACACCTTTCAACACCCACCTGACAAGTTCTTTGTTCTCCGTACATTCCTCTTTCATGCCGTGTCTTTCGTAGCCGTTAATTACCTTCCTCCTCCCTCCGCGCCTTTTTTTTTACGCTGGCTCTCTTCCTCCTGACTCCCAATCCTGCCGACATTCCTGCAGTGACGGCTGTGGAGAATGCTCGATCAGCGCTGCAGCTGCTTCGGTCCGGCACGGCGGCGATCGACCTGATTCTCGCGGAGGTGGAGCTGCCCAACGGCAAGGGCATGAAGATGCTCAAGCTCATCGCGCGTGAAGAGCGCCTTCGGAAGATTCCGATAGTCAGTGAGTGCATGGCTGCCGCATTATGGCTGTCGTTAATTATCTCTCAAACAAACGAAATTGTATGCGTCGGTCCTGCAGCTATCTTTTTCGATGCTTTCTTGAAAAAATCCCTGCTGCAGGCATTGTCTTTTGTCTTCGCGAGTACTTTTTTCGTAATTCCGTAGACTTCTTCCTCATGCTGTGCCATTTTGTGCCAATGTCCGCGCTATCTTTCGCGCTCTTTTATATCCCTGCGTGCCCTATCAGTGATGTCGGCGCGCGACGAGATGGCCATCGTCGTGCGCTGTCTGCGTCTCGGCGCGGCGGATTTCCTCGTGAAGCCATTGCGGACGAACGAGCTCCTCAACCTCTGGACGCACATGTGGCGCCGCCGCCGATCCGTGAGTGATGCTTTTGAGTCGACTCACATGTGGCTACTACTTTCGCGTTTCATTCCGTATCACCGGTACTCGCTTTCCCTACGCGTTTGGTTCCAAACGTCCTTACAGCAAGAAACGTGCCGAGTGTTTATCGCAATACCGCCCTCTTGTTCAATTCAACGTGTTCCCCTTCCCTGCGATGTTCGCAACATGACATGTGTGGCGCTCATGGTTCCCTTCTCGTCAAGCAGGCGTCTTGCAAGGTGCGCACCAACGCTGCCGCCTGTGCTTCACACATGCTGTTGAAACAGCCCATTTGCACCTCTTTTGTGCTTCACACATGCTGTTGAAACAGCCCATTTGCACCTCTTTTGTGCTTCACACATGCTGTTGAAACAGCCCATTTGCACCTCTTTTGTTCTTCACACATGCTGTTGAAACAGCCCATTTGCACCTCTTTTGTGCTTCACACATGCTGTTGAAACAGCCCATTTGCACCTCTTTTGTGCTTCTCACATGCTGTTGAAACAGCCCATTTGCACCTCTTTTGTGCTTCTCACATGCTGTTGAAACAGCCCATTTGCACCTCTTTTGTGCTTCTCACTCGAAGCACCCTAACTCCATCCGTGCAACTCCTCACCATTTTCCTCATCTCTCCCTATCGTTATCGCCCATGGGCACCTCATGCGCGTTCGTGCGTGCAATGGCACTCCCCGTCGCTAACCACTCGCACCTGTGTTGTTTCTCTTGCAGTTCGGCCTGACGGAGCGACCGCAGAACCTGGTGCCTGTGAGCATGAACGACCTGCCACACGACTTCGTGTTCATCGATACCAGCGAGTCCAACACCGGTACAGGCAGCACGGACTTGTTTTCCGATGAGACGGACGAGATTCGCCGCAGCAGCACGCAGCAGCTCCAGCACCAGCAGCTGCAGCTGCAGCTGCAGGAGCAGCAGGAGCAGCAGCAGCAGCTTCAGGAGCTGGAGCAGCAGCAGCAGATGCTGTTGGTGCAGCAGCAGGAGCAGTTGCAGCAGTGGCGGCAGGTGCAGCAGGAGGAGGATGTGGAGCAGTGGAGGCAGGAGCAGGAGCAGGTGCTGCGGCAGGAGCATCGACAACAGGAGCTTTTGTTGCAGAAGCAGCAGGAAAAACAGAAGCAGCCGTCGCATGAACAACAGCACGACCAACAGCAGCAGCAGCAGAATCAAGAGGGGCAGAAAGAAGTTCAGCGACAACAGCAGCAGCAGCTGCAGCAGCAGCAACAGCAGGAACATCATGTGCAGGCGCAGCAAGAGCAGGAACAGAAGCTAGCGGTTGAACAGAGCGGGCAGGTGCGGAAGGGGGAAAGGAACCCGGTTGTCAGAGGGAAGGTAGCAGCAGCGGCAGCAGTCGACAATGAGCCAGGCGGGCAGGGTAATAGCCGCAGTGACGCACAGGCGAAGCAGGGGGGTGGTATTGCGCGCAGAGAGCAAGTGGTGCGCGCACAGAAGAGTGGGAAAGAGAAGGGTGAGGAGGTGCGGAGAGAGTTGAGGAGGGGAGGCGAAGGGGAGGCGAAGGCGAATGGGGAAGGGAGAAGGGCGGTGAGAGAAGCATGTGACGCGGTTGCCTCGAGGCGCGTGTGCGTGGATGATGCAGTTGGGAGCAGTGGAGTGAAGCAGGCAGGCAATGTTGGGCGAGAGGAAAATGAGACTGTGAAGGGGGCGGCACACGAGGCACAGCAGCTGGGGAACGATGAAGAGAGCCGGGGGAGGATGGGAGGAGGACATGCAATGGATGAGGAGAGTGACGATGGCGCTGCTGCTACTCTTGCTGGCGCTGCTACAGCCGCCGCTGCGTCTGCGGATGCTGATGCTGCTGCTGTTGGTGGGTTTAGCAATCGCGAGGTGGAGGGAAGAATGGGCGACCAGAATGAAGGGATACAAAGCTGTGACGAGAATGCAAGGGCTCGGCAGGTGAGTGAGCTTTCTTGGCTATCATATCGTGACTCATATATTCCTCCCACTGCTGCTCGTTGTTGCCCTCTGCTGGCTGTGACCGATGCACTGGTGCCGTATCTCTTTTACCTCTGCTCATTCGGAAAACGTTTCCCACTTTTCCACCATCTGTCTGACAATCAATCTCTCCGGTTTCTCCTCTCCTGCCTCTCCCCTTGGATCATCCCTGCAGCCATCACCGCACCTGGAACTCTCTCTTATGCCGCCTCTCACTCGCCGACTGCTCCCTCCTCCATTCCTCCCTCCTCCTCCTCCTCCTCCTCCCACGCCTCCTGCACTTAACACCTCAGCAGCGCTCGCCGCCTCTACTTCCTTCAACCCATCCCTGCTTGGCTGCTCTCCCTTCACCGGCACTCCACTGCTCTCATCCGCAGCGCCAGTCAACGCCTTGCTGGGTCCATCCGCGCCTTCTCTCAATGCCTCATTGCTCGCTTGCTCCATAGACCTGAGCACCCTCGCTGCTACCACCACGCCACCAGGTAAGCCGCTCTCCGCACCGCACCGGGCAAGCCAGAGTTCTCCACGCACCGGTTTCAAGTTGAAACTTTCAACATCACTTCCCCCTTGAATAAAGCGGATCTTTCCTTTCCTGGTGACCCTTCGGTTGTACATTGGGCATGTCCTTTCCAATTTCCATTTCGTTCCTTTTCTTTTCACTTTCTCGTCCTGTCAATGCGCTGCCGTGTTCAGGTCCTTCTGCGGCTGTTGGGGAATTGCCAGCTGCACGCCTTGCTCTCTCTGCCTCCACCGCTGCTCACTCATCCGCGGCCCATGCTGCTCTGCCCGAGCTAACAACAGCACCAGTAGGAGCAGCACCAGCAGCAGCAGCAGCAGCAGTAGAAAATTGCACAGCAGCAGGAGGCGTGAGGTCGCTGCTGCCTGCACTGGTATCCACCAGCACGCTTGCACTCTCTGCAGCACCAGCACCAACCGCTGCAGCACCAACCACCGCAGCACCGACCACTGCAGCACCCATGCCGCTGGGGAGCACTCTTCCCACAGGCCTCGCCCTGAGTGCACCTCTCGTGCGTCCACAGCCCCTGCATGTGACACCACATGACAAGGGCCCCACTCAAGACAAGTCCTTGCCACTTCTCACCGCTCCTCCCCTGCCGTCCATTCCCCCTGCCCCTGGTCTGCCATGGCTTCTCGGCTCGATTCCAGGATCCAGGGGTCCCAGAACTCCTCTGCTTCCCCCCACGTTCCTTCCCCCACTGCCGGCAAGTGTTGCCCCTTATGATACTGCTGCCTGTGCTCCTGCCGCAACTATTGCCCCGGCCACTGGCGCTGCTGCTGGCGCTGTTGAGGGTACCGCCGCTTGTGCTGGTGCGCATGCCCTTGCTCCTGCTGGCGTAAGAGCTGGTGATTTCGTGCTGGTGCCTGGTGCCAGCATAACCAAGGCGCCTGGTGATGCTGCTACTGATTCTGCCACTGGTGGTGCTACTGGTTCTGGTGCTGCAGGTGCTGTTGGCTGTGCTGGTGGCCCAAATGCTAGTGATGCTGCTGCTTCTGCTGCCGTTGCTGTTGCTGCTGCTGCTGGCACCCGAGCGGCTCTCTTCAAGCAGGGGTTTTTCAGTGCGCTCCTCACTGCACCAGATGCTCCTCTGCAGAGCTCCTCAAGCCGCAGGAACGACGCGGGGTGTGGTGCAGGGCGAGGCGGTGCAGGGCAAGGCGGTGGAGGACGAGGAGGGAAAGAGAGAGCGGATCCAGAATATGAGGAGGCAGAGGCGGACGGAGAGGGTAAGGCAGAAGGAGGGCGCAGAGCAGGAGAGAAGGTGAGGAGGCAGGTGGAAGGATCGGGGGAGACAGGCAGGGAGGGCGAGGTGGGTTCAGGAGCAGCAGTAGCACCCACAGCAGCAGCATCAACTGTACCAGCAGCAGTACCAGCATCAGGAGCAGGTGCAGGTGCAGTAGCAAGAGCAGTAGAGCTCCCGGCCTCAATCCCCCTGCACTCACTGCACAAACCGCCTACGCCAGGGGGGGAGGTGAGAGGCGTGGCAGGCAGAGAGTCCGCCAAAGCACCTGCCACAGCGCGAGGGAAAGACAGCTCCCCTGCAGGCGCATCTGGGGGAGGCGGTGCGCCAGGCAGCGGGGGAAGCAGAACTGGGGGCGGAAGGGGGGCGAGTCTAGGGGGAACGGGGCGAGGCGAGGTGACTCAGCAGCTGCAGGCGCTGCAGGCACAGGACATGTGTGGCAATGGCTGTGGCAGCAGCAGCCGGGCTACCGACTACACTCCGTACAACAACCCTGTAGTACCGGTGCAGGCAGGCACCCTTGCCAGTGCTGGCAGCAGCATGACCGGAGGACAGCTGGCGTCGTCCAATTGGTGGGGCAGCACCGGCTCCGGCACAGGCATGGGCATGGGGACAGGGATGGGCATGGGAACAGGCACGGGGCCTGCTTGGGACAGCAGCTCGGTGCTTGCTGGCGCTGGTCCCTCCAGCACCACGCCTGGCGTTGATGGCTTCACCGCTGCTGCGGCTGCTGCAGCTGCTGCTATGGCAGCTGCTGCTGCTGCCACTGCAGCTCCGTCCTCCTCCCACCCATTCGCAGGGCTCCTTCCGAACCAGCCTGCCGGCCCTCATCCTTTCCCCTCCCACTCCTTCTCCCACCCTCTGCAATTCCTCAACTTCCACCCCTCTCACACTCTCAACCAGGACTTGCAATCACCTCCTGACTCCCTGAATCCCCCATCCTCCTCGCTCATCCCCTTCCCGTGCACGCTCCCTCCATTCGCCAGTCACATGCAGAATCAGCAGCAGATGCTGTCTCAGGGCCAGCAGCAGAACCTGCCACCGCCGTTCCAGCACCTGCCACCACACATAGCAGCCGCTGCTGCTGCTGCCGCAGCTGCAGCAGCGGCCTCTGGGCTTCCCCCTCAGCACCCACTAACTCAATCCCTTGCTGCCGCTGCCGCTGCCGCTGCCGCCCTGCCGGGAAACCAGCTGACACAGACCCCTCACTTCAACCACCCGCAGCATCACTCCCACCCGTTTTTTGCCGCTGCGGCTGCAGCAGCAGCAGCCTTCCCTCACCTCTCTCCAGAAGCAGCAGCAGCAGCTACTGCCAACCTGCACATGTCAACCGGCATGTCGACCCTTCCTCTTCCCACTCCTCCGTCAACCCATTCTATGTTCTCGCATGACCTGCAAGGGACTGGCAGTGCAGGACCCCTACCCCCAACCTCCACAGCAGCAATCGCCTCGGTTCAAGCCATGCCCATCCTTCCTCACAACCCCTTCTCCTTATTCTCTGCAATCTCTCCTCCCCAGCTGTCCCTTGCTGGGCCGGGGGTTCTGCACTCTGCCACACAGCCTGGACACCTTGCTGACATGGCGGCGGGTGTATCCTTGCTGGGAGCGGGTGGGGGAGGGGATGGGGGGACAGGGGGTTACCCCTGGCCGGGGCAGGGGGGAGGGTTGCATTTCTCTGCAGCGTCAATGGCTGCGGCAGCAGCGGCTGCTGCTGCAACAGCTGCATCAGGAGGTGGTATGGGAGGGTGTGGTGGAGGAGAAGCAGGTGGGGGAAATGTGGGAGGTGGTGTTGGTCCAGGGGGAGGGGGGGTGCAGATGGAGAGGAGGGTTGAGATGTATGATAGGAGGGAGGCAGCGCTGAGCAAGTTCAGGCAAAAGCGTAAGGATAGATGTTTTGAAAAGAAAATTCGGTATGTGAGCCGGAAGAGGCTCGCTGAAATGAGGCCGAGAGTGAAAGGGCAGTTTGTGAGGCAAACCGGTGGTGGGGCAGGTACGTCAGGGATGGGGAGGGATGAGGAAATGGAAGAAGATGAGGAGGAAGAGGATGATGGAGATGGTGGTTACTAGCAAAAACTGAGGTGCGCCACGAATGATTTATCTGACTACAATTAGATTTTTGCGGCCTGACAACATGGTCATCAGCACAAATTAATTTATTCGTTTTTGACTTGCAAACAAACATGGTTATCAGTAAATCTGTGTTTTATCCATGTGGTACTTTCTATAATATGGGATGTGTAACATTGTCTGTCTGTCCACTTTGTGAGTATTGGCTGATTGGCCCACGCGTTCGCCGTGTATACCTCGCGAGCCAGCTTTCTTTGATGCAACGAGTGGGTGCGGTTTCGCCTGGGCCTTCGCATCTGCCTCAAGTTCGCGGTCTCTTTCGCGACCACGTCATCGCTTCGCTGGTCCCATCTGCCCTCGTAGTCGCACGTGCCTATGCTGCCTTTTCGCACCAAGCGAAGATGTCTACTCCCCTGCAATTGGTTGAGCCCCTTCTCATCCTCGTTTGCGTGCCGCTCGGTATAGCAGACCTCGGGCCTACCTGCGTGCTGATTGGTTTGGGCCACAGAACTACGGAGAGGCCACCCTCCTAGGAGTCTCTTTTTGGCAATTTCAAGGTGGAGATTTCGCTGCTTGTCCGCCTCCCACCCATTCACTCCCTTCTGTTCGTAGGTACTTCTGCCTCCATTCCCTCCCCAATGTCTCCATTTCTTGTCTGCCTTGAGTGGGAGCATAGCATTCCTCAAGAGTCTGACATTCGGCAGAGGAGGACCTGCTTGCTCTCCGAGTCCTCTCAGAGCTACCGCAATTCTGATGACAAGCGTGTCCGAAGTAATATTTTCATCCCACAACGACAAGAGCACGAAGCACCAGCAGGAGTAAATTGAGTGAACTCCCGGAGAGCTAGAAAGCTGGGACGTGCTCAAGCGTCCTATCGGCATTAGTTCAGTAATTTCAACAGTCGGAATCGGTTCAGGCCACAATCGCCGGGACGTAATCGCCTCTCTGGAGACCAGGGCTTCTCCCCCTTCTTGCCATGGCTCTCTCACTGTCGGATATTCCCCTCGCTGCTCGGGCGACAGGAGCCGCCATTACAGATTCAGTAACGCTCGGCCACGCGTCTCGCGTCGACATTCGCCTCGATGCCGCGTCGCTCTCTCTCACCCCGGCCGCGAGACGCCTTCGCTGCTCTCGGCTCTCCGCAAGTCAAGCCTCGCTCCGTTTTAAGCCTCTCCGTCACGCAAACGGTAGCAATGCTCGCGCGGAGACCACTTCTGTCAACTCCACCGCTGCTGCTCACTCCGTCGATAACTCTTTATCAACAGCTCTTTCCGAAATTCAGCTTCCGTCATCGTCTTCCGTGCCGCCATCTGCATTTGAAAGCGAAAACAAAGGAGGTGCGAGGAAGAACAGGCGAAAGGGTAGAAGGAGAGCCGTCGACGAAACTCTTCAGAATGAGCAAAGCTGTGTTCAGGAAGGCGTCAGGCCGGCGAATCTGAGCCCTTCTGAAACGTCGGACGCGGCGTTCGTCGCGGCTCTCACGTCCCTAGCAGCTACTCCAGAGAACGGGCGGAGGAAAACGCAGGAACGCGAGCAGGGGGACGATGCGCATACCAGCAGCTCCGATGCCAATCTAGCAGCACTTCTCGGAAATGATTCAGCGTGGAAAACCGGGCTGACTGGAGGCGATGTGTCCCCCGAGTCTGGTTCGTCGTCACGGTTCGGCGCCCATGCCAGTGACTCTGGTTCGGCTGGTGCAGCTGACGTGGCCGGCGCGGGGAAGGCGCAGCAGAACGCGGGTGATCCGTACGGGAAGAGGGTGCTGGGGCGGGCCGTCGTGCAGTGGATGGCGCGCGGTATTGCGCGGATGGCGCAGGACGTGGCGGAGCGGGAGGCGCGCGGAGAGGAGGGGTTGGAGGGGGTGGCTGCTGGCGGAAGCATGGCGGTGCTGGCGCTGGCGCAGGATCACCTGCATAGGTGAGCGATGCCGTTGGGTTGATTTAACTACCACAGATAAGTGTGTGTGATTCTTCCCCTTGATGCTTTCTATCTATAGTTGGCGTACTCATTAGGGATAGTCGTGTGTCATCGTTGCGTCTCCTCCATTATTCACCGCCCTTCTCCCTCTCGTCTGTCTTCCTCTCGAGCAGAGAGCCGATGCCAGATGGCGAGCAGCCGCGGTGCCACGTGGCGATGAATCACTACCCCACGGTATTGGACCATCTTCAGCGAGAGCTTCAGGCGGAGCTCAAGAGACGACATGCACAGCAGGCGGGTACGGGGGAGCAGCAGGTCAAGGCTGTTGTGAAAGCATGGAATGAGAGCGCTTCGTGGAACGTTCTGAAACAGCTCATGAAATCTGGCCAACACCGGGCTACCATCCGCCAGCCAATCAGCACTCTCGCCGCTTCAGCTACCGCCTCCCAGAAGCGCCAGACAAACCTCGCCGCCCTCCTCTCCCCCTCCGCACTGCAAGCCGCCCAGCAGCGAATCAACGCCTACGTGGCAACGGCCGCGGAGCTCCTCCAATTGGAGCGAGACGCTGAGCTGGACGCAGTCGCTGCTGAGGTCAGCAACACCCAGTTAACAACTGCCTCCAGTCGCCCAGAGACTGAAGCCATCAGCGAGGGTGCCAAAGAGAGGAGGAGGCGGAAGGAGCGAGGGGAGGTGGAGAGAGGGCTGGCGAGAGAGGGGGGCACTCTGACGGACTTAGTCGCTGTGGGAACGTCTACTGGGCTGGCCGGCGTGCATCTCATCACCCTCGCTTCCCCCAGCTCGGGTCTCCTTTCCGCCTCTACCCTCTCCCCGGGCGACGCCATCTGTCTCTCCCCTGATTGGTCCAAATGCAGCCGCATCGGCAGTGGGAGCAAGGCTGGTGCGCGTGCTGCTGCAGCAGCGGCGGCTGCTGTGTGCCACCGAGGGTATGTGCACGAGATGGGGGAAGATGGGCAGAGCCTCGTGGTTGCACTGGACGGGAAGCTTGGCGTGGGCAGCAGCGGCACACGCAGTGGAGCGGGCACAAGTGGGTCGGAGAGTGAAGGGGAGGGCGGCAGCAGCAGCGGCGGGAGAGGGGCGTCCTCACCGTTGTATTTGCAGGAGCTCTTTGGCGTGGCGCTCAGAGTGCAGCGCATGTCAGGACTCGTGGACTTCACAACGTTCGAGGTGAGTCTCTTTCTTGAGGTGCCTCAAGAGCTGAGAGCCTAGTATGCACTGCTGCCACTCTCAAGACTGCCAGCAGTATCAGCTCCTAGCGTCGACCTCACAAGCCCCTCATCCGCTTCATGCTCTTCTTTTTTCCTTTCCGTTGCACATCTTCCCCCCCTCATGTCTCTGTCCCCCTCGTCTCGAATGCCCCCCGCCCCGCCCATCCTCCCGCCCACTCCCCATCCCCACCTGGCAGCGCAATTGCGAGGCACTGGAGCGACTCAAAACGTTCGCGCTCAAGCCCAAGAGCCCTGCTCGCGCCGTCGCTGCTGCCCTCTTCGCTCCCCCCCTTGCTGCTGCCCCTGCAACAGCTATACCACCAACATCCCCTGAAGCATCTGGAAATGCAGCCAGCACCGTCTCACCATCGCTATCCTCGTCCCCCCTGTCCTCCTCACCCTCCTCATCCTCCTCCCCGACCTCAGCATCCGCCTCTCCCTCCTCTCCTCAACCCTCCATCCTCTCGTTCGACCCCAGTCAGCTGGCAGCCATTCATCTCGCCCTGGACCCTGCCCGCCCTGTGGTGGCCATTCAGGGCCCCCCAGGCACCGGCAAGACGTCCGTTGTCACGGAGATTATCGCCCGGGCAGTCAGAGAGGGGCGCAGAAGGGAGAGGGATGAGGAGGAAAAGAGGCAGGCGGAGGAGGAGGACGAGGAGGAGGAGGAGGAGGAGGAGGGGGAGGGGGAGGTGGAAGGTGGGCGGGGGATGGACACTGGAAAGCAAGCACCAGGTGATGCGAGGACGAAGCAGCAGCGAACAAAGAAGCACCGGGTGCTGGTGTCAGCGCCCACCAACGCGGCAGTGGACGTGCTCGTGGAGCGCCTAGCCTCCCAGGGCCTGGCAGTCGCTCGGGTAGGCAACCCCATGCGCCTCTCCCCTGCCGTCACGCCCTACTCCCTGGACCACCTTGTGGCCGCCCGCCTGCGCTCCTTCCACCAAGACGTTGCCCGGCGCCGCCGCGACCTCAGGTCGGATCTCCGCGCTGTCGGCTCCGACTCCGCCCTGCGCTCCGCGCTCCAGAAGATGCTGCGGCGCCTGGCGCGCGTGGAGAAGCAGCGGGAGAAGGAGGAGGTCGCGCAGGTGCTGGGGGAGGCCGAGGTGATTCTCTGCACCACCACGGGGGCCGGGGAGAAAGTGGTGCAGGACATGGCGAGGCAGGAGGGCGGGTTCGACCTGGTGGTCCTAGATGAGGCAGGGCAGGCTACGGAGCCGTCTAGCTGGATACCTTTACTGCTGGGGCGACGAGCTGTGGTGGCTGGGGATCCGTGGCAGCTGGCGCCTACAGTGCAGTCTGTGGAAGCCCAGCAGCGGGGGCTGGGGGTTTCGCTCATGGAGAGGATTCAGGAGGAGGGGCTGCTGGGGAGTGGTGGGGGAGAGGGGACGGTGGAGAACGGTGGGGAGCGGTGCGGTGGCAGTGTTGCTATGCTGCGAGTGCAGTACCGCATGCACCGAGCCATCTCGGACTGGAGCTCTGAGGAGATGTACCACGGGCAGCTCATGGCCTCGCCTGCTGTTGCCAACCGCACCTTGGCTGACATCACACTGCCTTCTCCTCCTGGCCCCCACTCCTCCTCATCATCATTCCCCCAGTCCTCCTCCCACTCCCTCCCCCCTCTCCTAGCCCATCCAATGCTTCTGATCGACACGCGCTCCCCCCGTGGTCTGCTGCACGAGCACTGCGAGGAGGCGCCTGATGCAGCAGGCACGGGGTCGCTGGTCAACGAGGGCGAGGCCGACTTGGTCGTGGATCACGTCGCTCGTCTTATCTCGGCCGGCGTGCCACCCGGGTCCATTGCCGTGCAGTCGCCGTACCTCGCCCAGGTGCAACTCATCCGCCAGCGCCTCGAGGAGCGCCTGGGCGGCATTGTTTGGCCGCACGCTGTGGCTCGGGAGGCCGGGGAGGGAGAGGAAGGAGGAGGAGGGGGTGCTGGGGAATGGGATGTGGGGGCGGTGGAGGTGGCTAGTGTGGATAGCTTTCAGGGGAGGGAGGCAGACGCTGTTATTATCTCCATGGTGAGTCGTCTTCCTCTGCAGGCAAGCATGTTTTTCTGGTGTGAGAAAGTGGTGGGGTCATGCTGATGCCAAACATGTGAGTCTGTCTGGGTCAGATGCAACAGGTTAAAGTGCTGCTGGGAAATGGACTCTGCATTGTCTCACACCGCTTTCTCTCCTCCCTCGGCAATTAACCCTTGCAGGTTCGGTCCAACCCATATGGTTCAGTCGGGTTCCTCGGGGACCGTCGCAGAATGAATGTAGCGGTGACACGTGGCAGGCGCCACGTGGCAGTTGTTGCTGACTCAGCAACGGTCGGTCACAACTCGTTCCTCCGTCGCCTGCTCCTCCACATCCGCTCAGTGGGAAGAGTGGCTGGGGCCCACGAGCTGGATTTTGTCGATTCTACACCTGTCACATCAGCGTCATCGTCCACGTCAGCGGGGGAAGTGTATGTACCGCGTACATTCTCCCCACCATCTCTGGCAGCATCATTTGAACCAGTGTACTCATCTGGACGTGCACTGAGTCAGTCCCTCTCAGCTGTGGCTGTTGCAGCATCGCCTACTAGCTTGCCAGAGGGTTACAGTGGGGCCTTGTCAGCTCCTCCCAAATCTGGAGCATCTACCAACCCAAGCTCCATGGTTAAATCACGAGCTGGGCCCTTGGGCCCTCGAGTGGTGGCTCGTCTCAGGAAGGGATGATTTGAGATTGAATACCAATGAATGGGCTGATTCATAAATATGTAAATCGCTGTTGCTTTCTTGTATTGCCTTTATTGAATTCATACCCCTTATAAAGCAGAACGAATCATTCTTCCTATGTCATTCAGATTGCCACACTTTCCCACACGCTGCAAGCATGTTGCCTGTGTTTCTGCGAATCAGATGTCCTCACTGTAGCATGTACAGTGCTGTACAGCTCTGTCAATGAGTTGCTCTGACCGACGCAAAAGTCTCACCACCACACCCCACTCCCCGTTTCGACTCTCCCAGCGCAACGGTATCTCCTCCTCGAAGCCTACGCATGGGTGTGGCGAATTCTGCCCTGCGCTGCGTTCTCGTCCCCTTTGTGGGTGGGTTGGTGATTCGAGCTGCGTGCCGAACTTCGGTGGCTGAGCCACGCTGAGAAGGCCTTGGGATTTCACTGAACTGTGCGACTCCCTCCAAACCCGACATCTGCTGCATTCGCTTAGTGGAAGTGCACATGATAGCCTCGAGTTTCACCAAGTTGGCTTCTCTAGCTATTGGTAGCCGAGTTAGTTCCACAATGTTCTAGGTTTTGATTCTGTTGTCAGGTGGTCATCGTATGCCCAGCCGCTCGTGACATTTCCACACGGTAACAAGCAGTTTCTTCGATGGTACTGGGTTATGCCACACGTCTTTAGTAGCGTCTCACCTCATTCCGCTCAATCGCCTTACTTCGTTGTTCCTTCGCACGCCTCGCTTCCGCCTCGTTAAGAATGTATCTCTCGCTTTGTCGCCATACATTGTGACAAACTGTCCATTGATTTGGATGACGAATTAATTCCACAATACACCATTATCATATCGAGTGTACATGGTTGTAACCCTGTAACCTTGAAAATACCGACGCAACGACATAATGCCGACGAGGCTCGACCTCCCGGGCAGCAGCATTGACGAGCCCCCACAACGTCCGTCGGTCGAAGTTTTGGCTGGAAGGAAGATTCGTCGCGTTATGGGCGACCCCGTTAAACTCGACGCGTTCCTGTCCGGCGAGTTCGACCGGCTGGACGTGCACGCACGTGGCAGGCTCTCATTGGCTGAGATTGAACCGGCGCTGCTGCGCTTGGCGGAGATCCAGGGGCTCATTCTCCGCCCCTTCTGGGACAGCCGCATGGGGGGGCGCGGAGGGGGAAGCGGCGGAGGGGGCGCAGGCGCGGGGGAGAGGCAGAGATGCGGAAGCCGAGGGGGAAGCGGAGGAAGAGGAAGCTGGGGTAGCAGCGGCGATTGCGGGGGAGGAAGAAGCGGGGCCGGAGAGGGAGGGAGGGAGGTGTTACCTGGCAAGGTGAAGAACGATGAGGATTTGGCCAAGGGGCTTTTTGTCTCTTTCATGTCTGCTGACCTCAGCAGCGAGATTGGGCGGCACAAGTTTGTCAGTGTCTGCAGAGATGTGATTCTCGCATCCCAAGATGCAGTCGAAGGTACGTGCACTCTTATCCCTTCTCCACGTTCCAACTTTCTCTCTTTCCGCCTTCCCCCCCTCGGTTTCTCCACCTTCCGCTGCGCGCCTTCCCCGCCCCTCGCTGCATTGCTCTGGGTTCCCAGACGGTCCATCACGCTAGTTGCTTCAGGAGAGTGCGTTGAGGGTCTCTCCTGCAGGGTGTTTTTGAGAATTCTAAAACAACATTCCAGAGGGTCCATCACGCTAGTTGTTGCAGGAGAGCAGTGCGTGCAGGGACACTCTCCTGCATCCGCTGGGGCGTGTGTTACGGATGCTACGAGGGCGAGGGAGGTCCGTTTTTGAAACGTCTCAGAAAAAACATCAGTGCTGGCAGGAGAGCAGTGCGTGCAGGGACACTCCCCCGCGTCCACTGGGGCGTGTGTTACGGATTCTATGAGGGCGAGGGAGGTCCGCTTACACACGCCCCTGCTCCCCATTCTTCTGCACCCCCCTACCTTCCCTACCCCCCCCCCCCCCCCCCCCCCCCCGCCTCCGCCTCGCCTGCGGCCCTTCTCTCCCTACCCCGCCTATTGCAGAGCAGCAGCGCGCTGAGGGAGCTGTTAGCGGACGCGGACGAGGTGGGCTCGTTCATAAACACGCCGTGGACTCATCTCACCGCATTTCCATCCACTGCACTCCTCCTAACCGCCCTGCCTCCACTGTCCCCCCCATCCTGCGAGCAGAGGTTTCCCTGCCGCGGCTGCTGAAGGGCAGCATCGCGCTGAGTGAACTATTTAACAACGCGGACGAGGTTGACGCGTTTACAGACGCGCTGTGGACTCACCTTACAGCACTCCCTCTACCCCCCCTGCCTGCACCCCTTTTCCGCCCGCAGAGTATCCTCTACCGCGGCTACTGGAGGGTAGCACCGCGCTGAGGGAACTATTTAACGACGCGGACGAGGTGGACGAGTTTATAGACGCGCTGTGGACGCGCATGGACCTGGATGGTGACGGCACCGTGACCATGCACGAGATTCGCCCCATGCTGCCTGCGCTTGGGCTCTTTCCCCAACCCCTGCCCATCTCCACCGGTGGGTTGCCCCTGCGCAGATGTGTGCGTTGGCGTGGTGGGAGAGGGGAAGGGGGAGGGGAGAACGGAAATTTTGTGTGTGTGTGTGTGTGTGTGTGTGCGTGTGTGTGTGTGTGTGTGTGTGTGTGTGTGGTGGCGTGGTGGGAGGCGAAGTGGATTGGGGAAGGAGCACGGGGGTGTGGGGACCATGGGAGCTGGGAGGGAGAAAGGGTGTGTAGGGGGATTGCACACACCAATGGCGCCAATGACCATGCGCGACGTGTCTCACTGTTCTTTCTTCTTCGCCCCCCCCCCCTCTCATGCTCCTTCCTCCCCCCACCCCGCCTGCCCGTGCCAGAGCAGGAGGATGAGATCCTGGCAGAGCTGCTGCAGACACACGCTGGATGGGGAGGGGGGCTGTTTCTTTCGCCTCATCCTGCCCATGTCCCCTGCTCCCTTCTCCCCTCACCCTTCATCCCGCTCCCCTCTCTGCCCATCCCGCCCCCTCTCCCCGCGCCAGAGCAGGAGGATGAGATCCTGACAGAGCTGCTGCAGACATACGCGGGATGGGGAGGGGCGGAGGGGGAGAACGGGGCAGAGGAAGGCGGGGTGGAGGAGGGGGAGAGTGATTCAGCTGGAGGGGGCTTAGAGGCTTTCGGAAACGGCAGCAGAGGCTTAGAGGGCAGCAGCAGCAACGGTGGTGATGATGGCGGTGGTGGTGGTGGTGGTGGAGCAGGAAAAGGAGCAGTGGATTTCAGCATGGGGCTATCGAAGGTGCAGTTCATGTGGCTGGTGGCGGATATTCTCTTCACCGTGGCACAGGGGCTCGAGGACGACCCACTGTACCTGCCTGCCAACATGACCATTCTCAACCGCCCCTTCCTGCTCAAGGTGCGCCCTCTTTCGCATCTCAAAACTTCCTGCTCAAGGTGCGCCCTCAACCGCCCCTTCCTGCTCAAACTGTGCTCTGCACGTATGGGATGTGAACGCCGAGGATGGTCCAGTTTTTGCCTTTTCCCTACTCTATACCAACTACCCACCACCGTCTGCTTTTAGTTCAGAATCGGAGACTCACAATTGGCTTGCTGCGGCTCGAATCCTTATTCTTCTTTCACGTATGAGACCTGAACGCTGAGGATGGTCCCCCTCGCCCTCCCTCTCCACTTGGCCTAACTCTCTCACACGCGTCCTTCTGCTCTGCCGCCACCTCACAGGCCGCATGTTCCTCTCCTGAGACTCCTCCAACTGCCTTCAGTCCCACTCATTCTTCTCCCTCGACCCATCCTTTCTCCTCACCTCACGCTTCCGTCCCTCCCATCCTTCTCCCTCCCTCCTCTCCACAAAGCAGATTCTCTCGGACGAGGCCTTCTTCCACCGCCTCACGGACCGCATGTTCCTCACGTGGGACGAAACCGATCGCGGCATGCTCTCGCGCTCCGAGGTTGTAGCCGGCTTCTACTCCCTGGGGGTCGCCTACGGGCTCCCCGCAGTCACCTCGCGGGAGGAAGCCGATAGCATCTACCTCTCGCTCTTCCTCACAGCCGACTGCGACACAAGTGGGTTTGTGGACCGGGAGGAGTTTCAGTCGCTCATGCATTCTATCTTTCTGGGGGCAGCACTGCAGCTGCAGGCCACACGGTTACCGCCACAGCCGCTGCCGTCGCCGTTAGCTCCGGTGGGAGCTGGTCCTTCTGGGACCTCCTCCTCGTTCTCTTCCTTGTCTTTTTTCCGCCCGTTCTCCTTGTCCCTCCCCTCCATCCCATTCTCCGCTGCCCTTCCCTGGGGGGACTGTGCTGACAGCAGCACCACAGCTTTTCACAGCAGGGGCAGCAGCAGCAGCAGCAGGGGAACTGGTGCTGATCCTGCTGCTGCTGCTACAGTGGCGGATCTGCCGACCCTCACCGGCTTCAAGCTCTTTGACGGGCGGCGCGTGCGCAAGATGGTGCGGGCGGACGGCGGGGCTTGTCTTGACGTGTGGCTGAACAGTGCCTTTGAGGAACTCGTTACAAGCACATCGGATAGTGGAGATGGAGCAGGAAGGGGGGAATGGAAGCACGTGAGAGTGTCGGGGTCGAGGAGTGGAGAGGCGGAGGGGATTGATGTGGAGGGGCTCTCACTCGACAGCCCTGGTGGGGGCAGAACCGACGGGCAGATTAGTGAGGGTGGAAAAGGAGAGAAAGGGGAGAGTGGGGCAGGAGTGAGAGGAGAGCGAGAGAGAGAGGAAGGGTTCTCTGAGGGGCGTCGCAATGGGGGTGGAAAGAAGGTCTCATGGGGCGATGCTCTAGGAAATGGTCTGGAAGCGTCTGATGCAGATAAGGACGATGTTAGCCGCCCGACAGACAGGCCCGTGGTGACGTGGGCGGCGTTGGAGCGGAAGCTAGTGCAGCAGCTGCAGACGCTGGGGATGCCGGGGGAGGGCGTATCTGAGGACTGGGAGCGGATGGTGCATGATATGGTTGCTAGAGAGAGAATGAAGAGCGGTGAGGAGGAGACGGGAGGGAGAGGCGGGGAGGCGGAAGGCGAGGAGAAGGGCGGGGGTGACGGGGAGGAGGAGGAGGAGGGGGGTGAGGAGGAGGAGGAGAGGAGGAGAGAGGCGGTATGGCTGGATAGGGAAGAGTTTGTTGCGGTGATGGCAAGACTTTTGAAGCAAGTCGGGCAGACGCTGCAAGGTGAGAGCGGGAGAGGGCTCAACTGGTGGGTGTAGAAGTAGGACGGACAAGTTACACTTGCAGGGTGGTTGAATCGTCTCAGCCGTTTCAGCATGTACGTGTGTGCATCAGGTGCACTGGCTTGCCATTTTGCCTCGACCCCAATCCCTGGCCCCGGCGCTAACCCCAATCCCAACCGCCCTCCCTTCTACTTCCACCCTTGCCACACCCCTTCCATGCCACCCCACACCCCTTTTGTGCCACCTCACACCCCTTTGTACCACACCGCAAACCCCTTCATGCCACCCCCCAGCAGACACCCCTCTTCTGCTGCGCTCACTCGATGGCACTCTCATAAGGGCGTTCCTGCAGTGTTTGTCTAGTCACCTAAAGCATTGCATTGCATCCCTTCATGCCACTCCACCCTCATGCACCAGACACGCCTCTTCTGCTGCGCTCACTCGATGGGACTCTCATAAGGGCGTTCCTGCAGCACCCTTCCCGCCTCTCCGCTGCCATCCGCAGCACCTTCCAGGCACTAGACAACAAGGGATGGGGCGGCATGCCTGCCGCCCGCCTCGTTCCTGCGCTGCGTGTGATTGGCTTGTCTGCAGGACTGCCGTGCCGAGGAGGTGAGTGGAGTGTAGATTGATGCACTGTGCAAATCCAGGTGGCATCTCCCTCTGTGCACTTTCAATTCCTCATACCCTATACGTATCTACTCTGGACATTGTTACTCACTTCCCAACAGCTCCCAACACTCGTGTTCACTGAATGATCATGGTTCTTTCTTACTCTGTTTGATGTTCTCATCCCTGACTTGGCAGTGAACACTACACTTGACATTTGGATATTACAACTCACAACAGAGCTCGCACCCGATCTTCAACACTTATCGGAGGAACAATTTTCTTCATTTGTCGTGGAATTTCTTGAAGCCCTTTCTGCCCGGCTAGCACAGGACCCTATTTATGTGCTTCACGACCTAGATGCGCCACAAAGAGCTGTGGGATTGCCGGAGCTACCTGCTCCATCTCCCCGTATAGCGTGAAGTAATTTATAGCATACATGTATGATAAACAAGCAGTCTGATCACTTCTACACATATAAAGTACCATATACGAAGTAAACGCACTTCTACACTCGAACTCTGCCTATACGTCTAGCACCATCCAAGCTCGAGGTTGCGGCAGTGTTTGGCGGTCTGACGGACTCGTTATGACGCGGTGAAAGTGCTCGATCGGGGGTAGATCGACTCGGTCACCGCACTGAACCCTGCATTTTGGACAAGAAAGGTACACAACCTTTTATAACCGCGCTAAAAAACGAACCTTTGGCGATCGATCTCCTCTTTCACTGCGTCCTTAGCTGACCTGGAAGAACAAGTTTGATCGGTATGGAAAGTGCCGAACCACTCTAGTCCGCTTTGGTTGGGCTTTCTGGCGGTCAATCCAATTCGGCTGACGCACAGCTCAGTTGAGGCTGGTAAGTAGCGGTTCAAAGCGGTGACTCCTACCAACTGCTCTGAAGCACACAAGGATCGTTCTCAATTCGTTTGAACGGGAAGCTGGGATACCTTTGACTGCTGGAATGTTGCTGTGCTGTGAGTTGTAGTCATACTGTACTAGCCAAAGCGTCGCATGATCGCATCGCTGGTCTCTCCCCACTGCTGCTCTGTATAGCCCTATTGAAACGTCACGTGTACGGCATGCTTACGTGACCTTTTGAGTCCTAGCCGTGCAAGGGCTCCTGCTAGTGACGATAAAGGAGTAGAATAGCATGGAAGAGCGTAGCAGTGGTTCCAATGTCCAGTACCACCGTAACCGCCTCTTTCCTTCTCACGCCTCTCCTTCCGAATCGTGCCTTCGTTCAAAAGCTGGATCAGACAAATATTTTTTAAGGCACATCTCGCCCTTCCACGTTCTTCCTTGAAAAATGGCGATCGCGTTCCGACTGCACTCTTCAATCCACATTTTCTTCGTCTTGGTAGCATCAGCTGTACTCCTTATAACCAGCGTCGACGCGCAGCAAGGATGCGGAGGGAGCTGCCGCAGTCACGACGACTGCAGCGGGCGACTCGCGTGCATGAGCGGCAAGTGCGGCGATGACCCCGCCGTGGGAACGACCATCTGCAAGCCGCAATGGGGGGGAACGTGCAGGCCGTCGGGAAGCTTCCGGGCTCCTGCGTTCGTCCCCTGTGATTCGGATAACATGTGAGACGCCATTCTTCTCATTGGAACACCGCAGCATAGTTATGTTTTTGTTACATGTCAGAGGATTCATTCTGTGGGGAAAATTTCCTGTGCATATATTTCTAAAAGCCCCCTAATTATGATATTTTTTTTGTGTCCCATGTGCAGGTCTGAATGCTGCAAGCCACTGGCCACGTACTACAAGTACACGTGCTCGCCACCTGTCAGCAATGTCACGTCAGCAATACTGACTCTCAACGGATTTGGTGATGGTAAGTACTAATCACCATACCCCCCTGTCAATCCATGAATCATGACTGATGGATACATCCCATTAGCAGTGGAAGACTCAATGCACGTCGCTCTGTGTTCCCATGATGCTCACAGATTTTCTCGCCTCTTCTCATCCCCTCCCCCCCCCCACCACCGCCCCACCCCAAGCACCAATTTCTCCCTGTTTCCTTTGAAAGACTTAATCATCCCCCTCTCCCTCCCCCCTCCCCCTTCTCACTTATGACTCAAACGCCAGGCGAGGACGGAGGGGGAGAGTCATCCTGTGACGGTCGATTCCACAGCAACACCGAGAGGGTCGTTGCTCTCTCCACCGGCTGGTTTGCCAACCGGAGGCGCTGCGGCCGTCAGATCCGGATCTCCGCATCCAACGGCCGCAGCGTGCTCGCGACGGTGGTGGACGAGTGTTACTCGCAGGCGGGGTGCGACTTCATGCATGCAGGGCAGCCTCCCTGCATCATCAATGATGTGGATGCTTCGGCTGCTGTGTGGCAAGCTCTTGGGATAGGCGAAACGGATAGCAGATACGGATACATGAGGGTCACATGGCAGGACGTGTGAGGTGAGAGTATGTGCTCGGACTGGGGTCAGTTGCAATTGCATGGATGGTCGCTGGCTGCTACAGAACTGATGGCATTCAAGAGTTGCCCGAGTAATAGGTGTCTTCAAGTGCAGTGTGTGTGCTGCACATGGTGAGTGGCATAATTTTCCTGGATAGAGCATCCCCTTGTATGCTCTTATGGTCTCCTGCGCTGTCAACACCTGGGAGGGGGGAGGGGAAGGAATTGGACAGGGAACGGAACCACCTGCTCCATCTCCCCATGTAGCCTGAAGTAGTCTGGTTTGTTGGTACTGTATGATATATGATTATATTATTAGATTCTTGTTGTATAGATTTTCCATTGAACCGAACTATTACTACAGTGGAAGCTTGCCTGAACAGCACAGCAAGGTTCGTCCACGGTTGACCTGCAAGTGCAACTTCAAATGCCGAACCAGCCTTGCCATCTGGCGTGTCAGACCAAACCAAACCGACATCCACACCGACATGTGAGAAGGCGACACCTGTCGCGCACCGTCGTCGTTCCACTATCTGTCGCATGATCGCATCGCAAGTTGGTCGTTGCATAAGGTCAAGAATCAGACCCTTCCCATTCTTGGTCGCTGAGAGTCGCGCATACCGCATCCTGTGTGGCCCTCTGAATCCTGAGCGTACAAGGGCTGCTGCTAGGGATCGTAGTCCTACAGAATGGATGAGCGCAGGGAATAGTGGTTGCAATGCCTTAGCACCGTTAGTAGCCACCGCTCTGCTTCTTACGCCGCTTCGTTACCTTACGAGAATCCTTGAAGTGTTATAAAGGTTTCTCCGTTACGATGGTGACCTCGTCCCGCCCGCACATCTCAGGCCACATTCTGCTCGCCCTAGTAGCGTCAGCCGTACTCCTTATAAGCAGAGTCGACGCGCTGCAAGGATGTGGAGGGAGCTGTAAACGCCACGCCGACTGCAGCGGGCGACTGGCGTGCATGAGCGGCAAGTGCGGGGACGACCCCGCCGTGGGAACGAAGATATGCAAGCAACAAGGGAGGGGAACGTGCAAGCCGTCGGGAAGCTTCCGGGCTCCTGTGTTTGTTCCCTGTAACTCGAATCACATGTAAGATGCCGTGCTTCTCAGTGTTACGGTATATCCACATTAGTGGTTATCTTGCAGGTAAAAAAAACATTTTTTTGTGTGATAATTATTCCTTGTGTTTGATTCTTAATCCAGATTCCCATACTGAACCCTGTGTTCTCCATGGTTAGGTCCGACTGCTGCAGGCCACTGGCCAAGTACCACAAGTACACGTGCTCACCACCTGTCAGCAATGCCACGTCAGCAATTCTCACTCTCAACGGATTTGGAGATGGTAAGCCACGATCACTCGTGTGTATCATGGACGGATCCATGCCAGTGGTCACGGGTGACCCAGTTGCTGTGATGCTCGCAAGTCCAATCACCCTCCCTGCTTCCTTCAAGTTCCAAGGTCTTCATCACCCTCCCTGCTTCCTTCAAGTTCCAAGGTCTTCATCACCCTCCCTGCTTCCTTCAAGTTCCAAGGTCCTCATCACCCTCCCTGCTTCCTTCAAGTTCCAAGGTCCTCATCACTCTCCCACGCTTCCCACCTTTCTCACCCACTCCCTTCGACTCAAACGCCAGGCCAGGACGGAGGAGGCGCCTCGTCTTGCGACGGCCGGTACCACAGCAACTCCGAGACGGTCGTTGCCCTTTCCACCGGCTGGTTTGCCAAACGGAGGCGCTGCGGCCGTCAGATCCGGATCTCCGCATCCAACGGCCGTAGCGTGCTCACGACAGTGGTGGATGAGTGTGACTCGCGGGCGGGGTGCGATAGGATGCACGCGGGGCAGCCTCCCTGCATCATTAATGACGTTGATGCGTCTGCTGCTGTGTGGCAAGCGCTTGGGATCGGCCAATCGGATAGCAGATACGGATACATGAAGGTCACATGGCAGGATGTGTGATGTGCTGTGTGCTTGGGCTGCCACATAGTTGCAAAGGTGGTAACTACCGTAGCTACCTCATTCAGAAATGGAAAAATGGGCTGGCCACATGGTAGTACCCTGTTTTGAAGACCAGAACAATGCACAAGCTCAACGTGTTATTCTCAATCCAGGTACAGTAACAACGTGGTTCTTTGGCTGCCATTGCTTACTCCAACATGCTCTCCATATTAAGGTAAGGTAAGCTGAAAACACTGGTTGCACACTGCAACACAAACTGGATAGCAACTAACAAATTGTTGTGACACATTTTATGGGAACATGTGCTCAAAACGCACACCTCTGGGGAACTAGAGTGTTCCCCTGGCTCCCACTCATGTGCTAATCTGGTGTTTGTTTCTTTACTCATACGTGAAGTGGACGAATGTCAGATGAGATGACACCATCACACACATTGCGTCACCTCTGCTGGGCTGATGGCTGCTCCAAGGCCTGTGTGTGGCTCACTAGCTCTCTATCGGCCTGTACCAGCAGTCAAAGTCACACACACACACAGCAGTAACTCGGTTCCTTCTCAACCCAAAACACAACACAGCTCAGTGTTTTGTCCAAGCAGCAGGATCACCAGCTCAAGTCACACTCCCAACCTCAGCCACAGCAGTAGCACCAGGAGTCTCAGCAGCACCAGGAGTCTCAGCAGCACCATTTATCCCAGGACCACCTTCCTTGCTCTCCACCTCCTCTGATCCAACCCCTCCCTTCGCCCCATTCACAACTACCCCATTTCCCTCCCCTCCCCCTGCTCCCCCTCCCCCTGCTTCCCCTCCCACTGCCGCCCCTTTCCCCACTCCCCCCTCCTCCGCAGCGGCAGCAGCTTCAGCACGGGACTTCTGCCATTTTACCACAATCCCCATCTTCTGCACCACAGACTGCATGTTTCAAGCAACACTCCCAACCTCAGCACCAGAAGCCTCAGCAGCACCACGCGTCTCCTGACCACCTCCATCAGTCACCACCTCAGATCCAACCTCTCCTTTCGCCCCTTCCCCAGCTGCCCCTTTTCCTTCCCCCGCACCCTCTTTCCCCACTCCCCCCTCCTCCGCCGCAGCAGCAGCTTCAGCACGGGACTTCTGCCATTTGTCCACAATCCCCATCTTCTGCACCACAGACTGCATGTTTCAAGCAACACTCCCAAACTCAGCACCAGAAGCCTCAGCAGCACCACGCGTCTCCTGACCACCTCCATCAGTCACCACCTCAGATCCAACCTCTCCTTTCGCCCCTTCCCCAGCTGCCCCTTTTCCTTCCCCCGCACCCTCTTTCCCCACTCCCCCCTCCTCCGCCGCAGCAGCAGCTTCAGCACGGGACTTCTGCCATTTGACCACGTTCCCGATCTTCTGAGCAACAGACTGCATGCTCGGTCTTGCGTCCCACTCCTTAATCAGCGCGTACTTGGCGATGTAGGCCACTGCGAGGGCGTCCTTGCGGCGGCACTCGGGGGCGATGGCGGGGTCGACAAGGAGGGCGAGGTTGGGGTGGTCGTGGTGCAGCAGCGTGGGGATCAGGTCCTCGTGAATGCTGTCCTGGAGGACTGATTTCCCTGTAAGGAGCTCGACGAGGAAGACTCCAAACGCGTACACGTCACTCTTAGCATGCACGTGGCCTGATGAGGAGAGGAAGGGAAGGTGGGAGAGGGAGGGATGGGGTGAGGAAAACAAGGAGGTTGGGGGTGAGGAGGAGGGCGAGGGGGGAAGGTGGGAGATGGATGGGGTGAGGGGAAGAACGTAGTACCTGAGAGGTAGGTGGCACCTGAGAGATATCACAGGCAGTACCTGAGAGGTAGGTGGTACCTGAGAGGTAGGTGGTACCTGAGAGGTAATACCTGAGAGGTAGTTCCAGAGAGGTAGTACCAGAGAGGTAGCACCCGAGAGGTAGTACCTGAGGGGCGGTACAGGGGATGTCGTACCTGAGAGGCAGAACATGAGGTCCATGCACAACTGCCTCTCATTTGATATCTCATGCACCACTGCCCCAGGACTCAAACCGTCTAACAAGTGGCATGTACCTGAGAGGTAGTACCTGAGAGGTAGTACCTGAGAGGTAGTACATGGGGTCCATGTAGCCAAAGGAGCCCACGACTCTGGTTGTGACGTGCGAGCGCCAGTCCGCTATGCCCTTGGCCAGCCCAAAGTCCGCCACCTTGGCCGTGAAATCCTGGCAGGGGAGGGAGGAAGGAGGGGGGCGGAGGGAGGGAGGAGGGAGGACAGACGCGGCTCAATGCTTGAGCAAACTCACAAAACAACCAGCCAAATTTGCAAGTTGCAAATCATCTACCATCACGAAGACTGAGCAGCACTGCGTGCGAGCAGCACACCCAGCTTTGCGAGGAGGAGCACACGCACCTGAGCGAGGAGCACGTTGCTGGCCTTGCGGTCACGGTGGATTTTAACGCAGCGAGTGCATGAACGCCACTGCCTGCTGTTGATGCGCCTTATACCCTTAAAGCGTTTAAATGTTTTAAGCCCCTAAAACGCCACACAGCACACAAACCCACCTGGGTGAGCAGCATGTTGCTGGCCTTGAGGTCGCGGTGGTGTATCGCAGCGAGTGCATGAACGCCACTGCCTGCTGTTGAGACGCCTCATATTTCTTCGGTGACTACTTTTGAAGTGCCTCATATTACTTTAGGTGTCAACTTTGAAGGCGTCTATTATTGAGGCGCCTCAAAAGCAGCTCAGCACACCAACCCACCTGGGTGAGCAGCACGTTGCTGGCCTTGAGGTCGCGGTGGATGTAGCGCAGCGAGTGCATGAACGCCACTGCCTGCGCCACCTCGTGCGCCACCTTCAGCCTCGCCGCCCACGGGAACGTTGCTTCGCCCTTCTTGCCTGCCATTGCCACCCACCCACCCACGCACACACGGCACCCACGCACCCCATAGCAGCACGACACACACACGATTAAGAATCTTTCTGCGACTCACGAGCGTGCAGTGCAGGGACTGGCAACTGGCGAGCAGTGAGTGCAAGAGCACAATTTGAGCCAACTTAGAAACTCACGTGGGTGAATGGGTGGGTGGGGGGGGTGCAGGGCCTCACAGCGGGTGAGCAGGGCGTGCACGTCCCCCTTAGGCATGTACTCGTAGACGAGCGTTGTGCATGTGATGTGATGTGATGTGATGTGGTGTGGTGTGGTGTGGTGTGGTGTGATGTGATGTGATGTGATGTGATGTGGTGTGGTGTGGTGTGGTGTGGTGTGGTGTGGTGTGGTGTGGTGTGGTGTGGTGTGATGTGATGTGATGTGATTTGATGTGGTGTGATGGAGGTGAGAGATATGCATGCGTGAGGGGCCTCACAACGGGAGAGCAGGGCGTGCACGTCCCCGTTGGGCATGTACTCGTAAACGAGCGCCTTGCTGGGGTGCGGCGAGTACGCCAGCAGCTCCACTATGTTGCCGTGCCTCACCGCCCCAAACGTCACCAGTTCCGTCTGTGGGGCAAGAAGTAAGGGAGGGAGGGAGGGAGGGAGGGAGGGAGGGAGGGAGGGAGGGAGGGAGGGAGGGAGGGAGGCAGGGAGGGGGGAATGGGAAAACAGTAGCTGCGGCATGAAGGACGGACAAAGAAAGCAAGTTCATCACAGGAGGGGTTTGGGTGGACAGTCAAGCGCACAGCAAGAAGCACAGCAAGCACGGAGAGCCAGTCAGCGTACCATAAACTCGTAATCGCCCTGAAAGCTGTGCGGCGCTAGAACCTTCACTGCAACAGGAATTGGCTTGCAACCACCAGCGTCCCTCTCAACCATCCGACCGGCACCAGGCTTCGACCCGCCTCCTCCTTCACCCTCACCACCCCCGCTCCCATCCGCATCCCTCTCACCCGCGCCTCCTCCTCCCTCGCGGGACTCATGGGGGCATCTGCAAGGGCCGTTGGGGCTAGCACCACACGGCCGCATCTCGCCTTTATACACCTTCCCGAAACCACCCTCCCCCAGCACGGTGGAGAAATTGCGAGTCACACATTTGATCTCGTCCTCTGTCAGCCGTGGGATGGTGAGATCCGCAGGCGGCTCCAATGAACGCCCGCGTCCCCCGCTGCCTGTGGACGACCCGGCGCCTCTGGAGCCGAGCAGGCTGCCGGAGCTTCCCGAGGTTCCTGACACTCCAGAGACTCCGGATGCTCCCGATGTTCCTGATGCTCCCGAGACTCCTGACACTCCCGAAGCTCCTAATACTCCAGGGGTTCCTGACACTCCAGAGGCTCCTGATACTCCCGAGGCTCCTGATACTCCCGGGACTCCTGAGACTCCCGAGGCTTCCGATGTTTTAGAGGCTCCAGGTACTCCCGGGGCTCCTGACACTCCTGAGGCTTCTGACACTCCCGAAGCTCCTGACACTCCCGAAGCTCCTGATATTTCCGAGGCTCCTGGCGCTCCCGAGGCTCCTGAAACTCCCGAGTTTCCTGATGCTCCGGCTGTTCCCGAAGCTCCTGTCGATGCTACTGCCTCTCCTAATACTCCTCGTGCGTCCGACGCGAGTGCCGCCGGTGGCTCGGCTCTGGATAGTTCGGCTTTGGGTGGTTCCGTGGACGGAGAAGACTGCTGTGGTGCGACCAATGCTGAGCTGGCAGCTTCTTTTTCTGAGAGCAGGAGGTGAGGAAGATTGTAATAAACAAGATTGGGTTTTTTTTTTTTTTTTTTTTTTTTTTTTAAGATTGACAGTTAAGCGTGGGATATCATTTTAAACGACGTAAACGGCATGCCTGCGAATGGAATATGGTATGCAGGCGTATCATTCAGACAATGTGCTACGACGTTGGCATATAGCTAGAATAATAAGGAACAGCCAGGAAAACAGAAAGAAAACAAGAAGCTCCTCCGTAAGTGATGTTACGTACGCTGAGATAGTTTGCTTTTGGGAAGACCTGCCTCATGCGAAGCATCTCGCGACGACACGCAACCCATGGATACAATAAAAAATGCGAAAGCAGGGTCAATTAGCTTCTGGACCAGGAATAGTCTCCTATTGCGGAATTCTGTAGACTAAAACGCAACCGCTATGATTTTTTTTTTAAAATAATTATTGAATACATATTTATGCGAAAGGTAACAACATACTCGGCTAGGAGCTAGGACTGAAGCTCAGGAATGGGCCTACTCCAGCCAACTCTCAAACTGCCTTTCTGACGACACGAGTTTGACGCTGGAGAGTGATGGTCATGCTTTAGCAGCTCAATCATATGTGAGGAGGAGCACTCGCACGTGGTCTGCCGAGTTCATCACTTAGGCCTCACGATGACCACTCACCTCAGCACCACCACCAACTACTACCGAACCTGGGTGCAATTGGTTTGGATCTCCAATCAGACCTCCAGTCAAGGTTTCCGAGTTCCTCCCCGAGGCTACTTCTGGTCTTCCGCACCTATTTCTCACCGCTTGGTTGGTTCACCACATCAGGTCCTCCGAGCCTCCATTCCTGGTGCAGAGGTCTGACTGGGAACACCGATATCCGCACCTTTGTCATTCTGCGATGGTGTAGAGATTCCTTGCAAATTCCTGATTCGGTAGAGAGCTGCCAGGCTAAATGGAATGGAACATAAAGATGCTGGTGAAATCTCAAAAGCATATAATGCTACAGCAAAGTCAGTCACTGTTACTGCATTGCGGAACACAAGGACATGTACGGAGTAATTTTGAGTTTTAATATAATCTCCTGATGTTATTTTTCCGTTTTCACAATATAGGTAATGTTAAACAAGGATCTGCAGATGGGAGCTGAAATTCATAGTCCAGACCAGAAATCAAAGTTATCCTTGTAGTTTTAGCATCTTTGAGAGAGTATTTCTTATATCTACGTAACGAGCTATGCACTATCACCATCACCAGCCCCTTCACGTCCCAAGGCAACCGTTATCAGTTGCTTCGACGAACACCTACATTTTCCAGGCATTCCAAATACACCCTCATTCTCAGTCTTCTCACCGGCGGAAGCAGTGGCTACAGTGTTTGGACGTAGCGGGCTGGTGAGATAACTCGGTTGCGGGCCAAGTCGCACGAGGCGACGAAACCAGACTTGGGCCGTAAAATTCCGTTAACGCTGAATAACTGTCTTAACCGTTTAGAAAACAGCAGTACCATTCTAGAACGTATAGAACCTTGACTAAACGCCCTGGGTCAAACTGTCAGTATAACGCATGTGATAGGACCCTCTTTGGTCCGCTGCGGCTACACTAAGCGTCCCGGTCAGTATAACATATGCCAGTCTAACGAGAATGAGGGTGTATTTCGTTAGCCGTCGATTGCTTCGCTAACCAAACCGCTCAAGCCTAGATCCTGCCGAACGTGACGTAGGAATCCTTCCCCGCCAAACTTCCACACCAACATTTTTCACAGCTTTCCCTCCTGCTAATCCCTAGAATTTGGTTGCTGCTCCAATTCTTCAGGTAGCATCTCCAAACCAGTTTTGAGTTGGATTGGATCTGCTATTCAGATCTGCTTCCCTTAGAGAAGGCAACCTCTGTAGGCTCCATAGCAGTAGGAGTTACTTGCGATCGGGCCACATAACTTGGGTTTCGCGTCTTATCTTGATCGGCTAGCGTTTCCTGCGGTGGCAAGATGGCTACAGCAAGCGCTCCTATCGTTTTGAAGGAGGCCCTCAGCGTGAGTAGGAGAGATTGAAGGTAGATTTGTGTAGATCCACCAGGACAATATGATCGGTTTCGTGTTCTTCAACCGCGTGGCGCTTTGCTGATAAAATTAGGTTTTTAAGGTAGATTGCTACTCGACGACTTCTGAGTTTCACGACATGGGTCTGTTTTCCCACCGTATCTCCTTGTGCAGTTGACAAATCTGGGGGTCAATCAACAGTTCATCTCCTTCACTCATGTCACGATGGAGTCCGATAAGTATATTTGCGTCAGGGAAACGGCTCCGTCGAACAGCGTTGTCATCATTGACATGGCGATGCCAATGCAGCCTTTGAGGAGGCCTATCACTGCTGACTCAGCATTGATGAATCCTGAAAGCAAAATCTTGGCGCTCAAGGGTCAGTTTGGTGCTAGTTCGTGCTTATGTTTGAGGCTGTTTAGGTTCCGAATACTCAGGCGTTTCGGTTCAAACGTGCAGCTTTGATTCAAGGGACGACTCAAGATCACTTGCAGATTTTTAACATCGAGGCTAAGGCTAAAATCAAATCGTACCAGATGCCAGAGCAGGTCAGCACCAGATTGAAGTTGCGTCTGCCATGAGCTTGAAAACGTTTACTGACAGACTGCTTTCTCTCTTTCCAGGTTGTGTACTGGAAGTGGATCTCCAACAAAGTTCTCGGCCTCGTAACTCTGACATCTGTTTACCACTGGTCGATCGAAGGTTGTACTTTTAAACCACATCCTATGCCACCCCTTTCTCTGTCATTTTTTTCCTGAATCATCAAAGACAGGCTTTTGCAGCGAAGATTCAGTGCTGAGACTTTTTATTCCTTTTTCTTGTTGCCTCTACCAGGAGAGGGAGAGCCCGTTAAGATGTTCGAGCGGACTGCGAACTTGAACGGTAACCAGATTATCAACTACCGGAGTGATCCCTCTGGCAAATGGCTTGTTTTGATCGGCATCGCCCCTGGTGCTCCTGAGGTATGCTGAGAGTCCCGTCTTTCTAAATTAAGTAATCAGGAGTCGCGAATATGGTTCTTCATTATGTGCCTTCAAATCTTGTTTGTTTGCAGCGTCCACAACTCGTCAAGGGAAATATGCAGCTCTTTTCCGTGGATCAGCAAAAGAGTCAGGCATTGGAATCGCACGCAGCTGCGTTTGCCTCTGTGAAGGTCCGTTGATTTCCTAACCCAATTATGGTTCGTTCAGTCTCGCATGTCTTTAACAGGAAATTGTACATTGAGCCCATTCGAAGCGTTTGCATTGCTAAGTAAGTACTCGACTAACTGTGATCTTGCAGGTGCCAGGAAACGACACTCCGTCCCTGGTCATTGCGTTTGCCACCAAGACTATCACTGGCGGACAGCTTATTTCGAGGTTGCACATTATCGAGCTTGGTGCTCAACCAGGTCAGCGAATGTTACATTCCGAACGAAAATTGAATGTTTCGGAATATATTGGTTCAGCTAACAAGTCAAGCCGGGTTGTTCTGTTGCAGGTCGCGTTCCTTTCACAAAGAAGCAGGCCGACCTGTTCTTCCCGCCAGATTTCGCTGATGACTTTCCGGTCGCCATGCAGGTGAGGAAGCTTGCGTTGAATGCTTCAACCCACAGACTTTTACTACCCCTCCCGCTTCTGAGGTTCAACCCCCTTGTTCTCCTCCCGTGTTCGCCCGTCGCCCGTCTTCACCCCGTTTCCTCCTCATTCAGGTGTCAGCGAAGTTCGGCCTGGTGTATGTGGTCACCAAGTTGGGCCTGCTCTTCGTGTACGACCTCGAGTCCGCCACGGCAGTCTACCGCAACCGCATCAGCCCTGACCCCATCTTCCTGGCCGCCGATGCTCCCAGCG